AGGTTGGATGTCTAGGAATTATAGGTATAGATTACTTTCATAAAAACCAATGTTCAAAAAAATCTGAATTTAGAGAACAAATTAAAGGAAATACATTATATAAAAGTCATTACCTCCTTAAAAAAAAACCCTATATTTGAATTTTTAAAAACAATGGGCTCCCACAGTCCGTTTGCTTTGCAATACATTGTGGAGTTTTTGCTTGTCTTTTTCCTTTCGTTTTAGAATTGGATAGACCACATTTTGCTGATCCAGTCATCATTTCATGGACATTTGAGTTGTTACCATGTTTTGGCCATTATGAATAATGCTGCCATGAACATTCACGTACAAGTTTCTGTGTGGATACATGATTTCATTTCTATTGGATATATACCTAGACGTGGAATTTTGGGGTCATATGGTAATTCTATGTTTAATTGTTGAAGAACTGCCAGACTATTTTCCAAAAGGCTGCGCCATTTTATACTCCCACTGGCAGTGTATGAGAGTTCCCATTTCTGCACATTCTCACCAACACTTACTATCTGTCTTGTTGATTATAGCCATCCTAGCTAGTGTAAAATGGTATGTTGTGTTTTTGATTTTCATTTCCCTAATGGCTAATGATATCAAGCATATTTTTATTTGCTTATTGGCCATTTGTGTATCTTCTCTGGAGAAATGTCTATTCAGATCCTTTGCCCATTTTTTTATTGTGTTAAAATGTACATAACATAATTCTGACCATTTCAACTATATTGAAGTGTACAATTTAGTGACATTAAGTACATTAAGCAATACACTGTTAATATGGAATTGATGGCAAAGGTATCAGTTTGAGCCAGATGGACTTGGGCTTGAACAAAGGTTTCTATACGTACAGGTTGGATGATCGAGACAAACTATTGAACTACTCTCAGCCTCAGTTTTGTCATCAGAGAATATAAGACTATTAGGCCTATGACAAAATTAAATAAAATAATATGAATATGAAAGCATAGAGCAGATAGTAAATTTGCCTTGCACTCTTTAGTAACACAAGGTAAATTATACTGTACTATTTTTCCCTAAAAAAATAAATATTAGTTATTTAGGAGATTAAAGCAGAAAGCAAGATAAAAAAAAGTTACTGAATTTTAGAAGAACTTTATCACTAATAAAATCTTTGAAATTATATTCTTCTTCATGCTTCAAATATTCCCATTATATTCCAAAAACTGATTTATTCCTAATTGTGTTACTTGTGTACTTGGTAAGCCCTAGTAATAAACTAAGCATCTTGAGGGCTAGTTATGCTTAAAGAATATCTTATGAGATCATAAAGTCAAGTATTTGCACAGCAAAATATTTGTCTTACAAATAAGGACATACTCCTACTGTAGGTATCTTAAAAATTCTACACACTTCTGGGCCGGCACAGAAGCGTAGTGGTTAAGTGCATGCGCTCCGCTTCGGTGGCCCAGGGTTCGCAGGTTCAGATCCTGGGCGCACACCGATGCACTGCTTGTCAAGCCATGCCGTGGCGGCGTCCCATATAAAATAGAGGAAGATGGGCACGGATGTTAGCCCAGGGCCAATCTTCCTCAGCAAAAAGAGGAGGATTGGCATTGGATGTTAGCTCAGGGCTAATCTTGCTCATCAAAAAAAAAAATTCTACACATTTCTTTAATTTACCAGAACCTGGGGAAATTTGGTGATTTCTCATTCTACTTGTATATAATGTCTGTCGGATGATCTGCTGTGGCATCATGCTCATCCTCAGAGAGCGGATGAGAGACAGACGTACAGCACCAGTCCACAAACATTCACTGATTCAACCTACGTCCCCCAAGGGGTTCCTCTGTCTCAGGCATTTTCTGGAAAAGGGAAAAATCATTTGGTGCAGGTTCAAAGTGCATTTTGCTGAGGTGGACCTGATCACTTCCCTTCCCTGGTAAACACTTAGAAACCATTTTCCTGGTGGTTCACAGGGGAGATTCCAGAGCTTAACATGTTGAAGAGAGAGTGTTTCAGCTTCTCTTAAAGAGACAGAAAAATGGTTATTCCCTGCATTACTATACGTACATGGGGAAGCTTTTAAAATTTTATTTAGATAAGTATTTAGATTTTTTTGACAAAAAACTCTCATACTAAAAGAAAACTCATATTTAAGAAAACAAATCTCTTCCTTACTCGGTCTTCTAATCTCCCCATTTTCAGTTTGTGAATGTGCTAAGGTCCTTCCTACCACATGGCTTTGTATTTGCAGGTGGCCTCGCCCGCACTCCACCCTCCACCACAAAACCTAATTCACGAACATTCATCTTCTAGATCTGAGCTCAAATGTTGCTTTCCCGTCTTCACCTGCTCACCCGCACCCCACACCCTAAGCTCTTAGCACACCGGGTCCCTTTCTTTTATAACACGTAGCGTACTATTACTACATACTATATAACAATATTATTATATAGTATATTTTATTATGATTTATTTCCATTATAAATTGACTAATGCTTAGCTTTCCCACTAGACTATACACTCCAGGAGTTTCTGTTTTTCTGATCATTATAATCCCAGGGCCTAGCATAGTGGTAGCACAGGATAGGGATTCAATAAATAGTCCTTGAAAGAATGAATGAAATGAATTAATGAATGAATTTAAAAATGAATAAATTACTTTGGAGAGAGAAAAGAAGACAAGTTCTTTCTATTCCGCTTCCCACCCAGCCACTTCTACGACTTCACTGTCTTATTCCTCGATAGTAAGGAGAATCTCTTAAAAATTTGCTTTCAAAGAGCCAGCAACATCCTAGGCTTACTTACTAGACTGACTAATACTCACTATCTGCTTGTTGAACAAATGAATGATGGCAAAAATTATATATAGCTGAGATATCACTATAACTACAATAACTGTTACTGTATGAATTCATAACGAAAGAGAAAGGAGAGGAATGAATATCTTACTAATTGAAAAAGATCAGCAGCTCTGTTTTAATGAAAGGAGACTCCACAGCTCATAGTGCAAGGGTAGAGCTGAGGAGTGTACAGGTGTGGGGGTGGTTAGACTCAGGCAAAGCGAAGTTTCATAAGGGGAATGACCATATGTAAAACTACACTGCTGTCTCGTCTGAAGATGGGACAGTGTCTCTCTTGCTTAGATTACAATTTAAGCTTTTGCATTGTTATGTCTACAATAGTACATGCTTGCCCATCCATTCATTGACAAGCTGTAGAGCAGTGTTTTTCTAACTGCAAATCATAGGCCATTAGTATGTGAAATCAATTTAGTGGGTTGCAATCAGTATTTTTTTTAATGTAATAAAATATTTAAACAGAGAGCACTGCAAATAAAACTGTTCTGAGCATACTTTGTTTCAGTTTTGCACATCTATGTCTGTGCATGTACTAGGTTGCAAGGTGACATGTATTGCTCACTGTGGCTCACGGTCAAAAAAAAAAAATATGAAAGCCACTGCTACAGAGAACAGTTACTAATAGAACAGGCTCCAAAGTCAGACAAATTGGTAAGCTAATCCTGGCTCTGAAACAAGCTACCTAACCACTATAAGCTTCAGTTTTTTCTTCTATAAAATGGAGATAATAATACATACCCCACAGGGAACTGAAAAAACAATAATGTAAAATGTGTAAATATGTAAAATAATGATAACCGATATTTATTGAGACCTTCCTAATTTACAAGTACCATCTTCTTTAATCTCTAAAACAATTCTATAAGGTAAGTTGTATTATACTTCATTTTATAGGAGAGGAAACTGAGACACTGAGAATTGAAGTAAAAATCTTAATGAAGGTCTGAGTATGTATCTCAGTGACTTGCACACAAATACATGGACACTACTATTATGAATTGCCAGCAGTTCTGCAATGAATCCCTACTTCACTTCTTTGCATACAGCAGGAGGAATTCAACAACTACCTGTGATGGGTGAAACCCAGCCCTCAAACTCAGAGCACCTTCACAATAAATTAAACAACAAACTGCTCGGGGAACTTTGGGAGGGGGAGAAATTCTGACCTACACCTGTTAAAGGAAGGCCTGAGGCAAGCAGGGCCTAGAGCAAGGTCTTCGTTGACGTGGTGGGAGAGGTCCTGTGGAAGTGGGAGGGAATAGTACAGGCAAGGTCAAGACCAAGAGACAGAAAAAACTGGACATGAAGGTTGAGAAGAGATTGTAGAGAGAAGTCGCTGAGTCTAGCTTAAAGGGACTGTACTTTTATCCTGTAGCTACAAGGAAACCACTGAAGACTTTTAACAGTGACTAAAATAAAGATGCAATTATGAGACTGCATAACAACCTCCATATGATTATTGTTTAAAATATCGTGTAGATATTTTGACATGAAAATTGAATTTTATTTTCCCAATTTTATGGGTAGAAAACCAACTTCACTGTAAGGGAAATTATGAGAATTAATAAAACATTCCTTAAGCTCTACAGCTTTCTGAGAAATTCTATTACAGACGTAGATACAAATTATTTTATTATAGTTGACTGTATCATAAAGTACTTTAGCTTGAAAGGAACTATCTAAGTTTTATTATGATTATTTCATTTCTTTAAATTGCAGTGTTTGAAGATAGGATTATTTAAATAGTTTTTGAATTGATTTAAATAATTATGAAGATGATAGATACTAAAAATATTGATTCCAGCCTTTTGCCTAAGGGTAATCAATTTCTAACAAAACAAGTGTATTAAAATATCCATTCTCCATCAGACTTGACCATTAATATCTTAATACTTATTTTATTATATATTGTGACCCAGAAGAAAGATATGTATATTATTAACTCTCGAATGATAAACTACCTACTGAATTTTGTGCTCCTGGTTTCAAATCCCTGCATCCTGCTATTCTTGAAAATATATAGTAGATTAGACAGACTCATATTAAAATGAACTGAATAAAATAAAAACTTTTAAACCTTAAAAATGTTTAAAGCTCTAGAAGGCATATGGCATCTAAAATGCAATCTTATATATTTGGGGTTAAGAAAATAGAAAAAGGGACCTTCTGAAAATTAAGTCCTTGTGCCCAGGAACAATTCTTGGGGTTTGGAACATCTTCCCAAAACAGTTTTTTCATTCTACAAAGAATAAACAAGGCATTAGAATTAGAGAAAAACATTCATATCGAAAATGTTAACAATTAATGAATAGTATCAACTAGAAATTTATCCCCCAGACCAACTATGCCTCAGTAGGGTCAGATTCATTTCACATGAAGATTTCCACCACATTCTGTCTAGGCCAAAGTTAATAATCACTACAACGATAAAAGTAGCCAACGCGTATTGAAAGCTGTGTGCCAGGCACTGTGCTAAACGCTTTGCATAGGTTTTTCTCAGAGAATAAAATATTAAAAATGGTCACCAAGTGAGTTTCAGAAACAATTCCACTTGATTTGGCCCCATCAGCTCACTGGACTGAAAGATCAATTCAGACTCTAAAATCTCCTCTTTTTTTCGTTAGAAGACGAAAGTTTATGTCAAGATCTGGCATGTGTGAAATACCCTTATTGGTCCAGACTTCTCAGCACAGAGTGATGTGGCAGCCACAGAACTATCCAAGAAATTCAAGGCCATTGCCAAACCAGACAGCCTGGAGCCACATAGTGCTGCTTTTTAAAAAGCAGAGTGCTGGGGCCGGCCCGGTGGCGCAGGCGGTTAAGTGCACGCGTTCGGCTGCGGCGGCCCGGGGTTCGCCGGTTCGGATCCTGGGCGCCCACCGATGCACTGTTTGGCAAGCCATGCTGTGGCGGCGTCCCATATAACGTGGAGGAAGATGGGCAGAGATGTTAGCCCAGGGCCAGTCTTCCTCAGCAAAAAGAGGAGGATTGGCAGATGTTAGCACAGGGCTGATCTCCTCACAAAAATAAATAAATAAATAAAAGTAGAGTGCTTCCTGATCATAAATGAACTGACTGCTCCAGGTAAATCTTCACCACGAAAAGTCCTCAACCACATTGCACAACTCTGAAAGCCATTTCTGCCACCTCCAAGAACATACTGCCTAGGATTTCCTGTTATACACTTGTTTTTCCTGAATGTATACACATAAAAAAACTAATTTCTTCCATGAGGTTTATGCTGTACTAGCAAAATGGAATGTGATATCCTGAAAACAGACCTTTTCTTTTTATGGCATTTTAATTACATACCGACTACAAATAAAATATTTAGAATACATTAATGTTTGTGATTTGGGTTTTAAATCAAGGTTTAAATCTGCTCAAGATTCTCCACACCAAGTACACTACCTTTGATGTGATATTAACAACGTTCCAAGCAATAAGATTGAAGAGGAAATAATTATTGGCACAATTACATATAGTCCTGCATCATTCTGGTGTTTTTCAATATCATCTGAAAAAGAAATACAATTCACACAATTCAGAAGCTTGAGGATATAATAATATCTTTCTATATCAAAAATTATAATAGACTTTTTTCTGATTGCATCATAAGTTTGATTTCCTTGTAAATCTGTATTACCTCAAAATATAAAAGATGAAGATAAGTATAGTTTTGATCACATTAATAAAATAATTATTATTTTGCTCAGAATTATACTTACTGTAATTTAGGAAAACAGTTGTTCAAAATTACTTATTTGTCAATTCTCTCCATCTGATCACTTTCAGGTTATATGAGTCAAAGTGCCAATTGTGATGATGACTCTCTGTTTCAGCATCTGCTTCTGGAGAAGCCAACCTACACCACCCGCCCAGCTCTATCTGGTTCACTCCAGACACCTTGACCTCCTTGCTGTTTCTGGAACCACCAAGCCCACTCACTCCCCAGGGCCTTTGCACTTGCTACCCCTTTGCTGAAACGCTCTTCCCCTTTGTCCTCACAGGGCTCTACTCCAACATCACCTGCTCAGAGAAAAAGACCCACTTTGGCCATCCTAACTAAAGCCCACATTTTAACCCTATCCCTTCATCTTATTTTTATTTTGCTTCATAGCACTTATTTCTATCTGACATTATCTCATACATGATTTGTTTATTGTCTGTCACTCCCCTTCGAGTCCTGGAGGTTAAGCTCCACTTGGGCAGAGACTGATGGTCATGGTTCAATCCCCAGTGCTTCTATTAGAACAGAGCTCAGTAGATATTTGTTGAATAACACATGAATGAATTTTTATAGTCATTTTAATTCCAAAACCAGGAAAATGTTTCTCTTTTGAAATTTCATTATTGAGATGCTTGGTTTTGAAGACAATTTGAAAAGTAATAGCAAATTGTTGATACTCCAAGTATGGTAAAATAAATCAGAAATATAAGAGGCCCGGGGAACCTATGTTTATAACTATCTCTCCAGTTTTACTTTTAGAGGAAAAAAATACTTCCTTTAGAATACTGATTAAAATTTAAAGACTTACAAATATATGCCCCAAACATATTGTTTTGGGTAGGTGCATTTATATGAATTATACAGAAAATTAATATTTTTCCAATTAATCTCTCTGATGATGTATTTTATTGTATAGCTGTGTGTTTCTCTTTAGTTTGTTTCCATCAACTTTTTACCCAATTTAGACTGAAAATTTTACTTACCAACACAAGAATTCAAACCATGCCTGATGATTCTCCTTCTCACTACCACCACGGAACCACGTACCCTCACCGCAATCACCCCATGACACATCTACATAAGACTCTGGACTCTCCCATGATTCCACCAGAAAGAGAATAATCAGATGGCAACATTACCGCTGACTAAATAGAAAACCACACATCTGTATAAAAAGAAACTAAAAGGAAAATTTTTACCTTGGGTAAAACCATTAATTATCTTCGGTTTCCCCACTCCTTCCATAAATATTGGGTAAAGACTGAACTGATACTTCTCAATGGGGATAAAATGATCTGAGGAGAAAAATATATTAAAAGGTCATTCTTACTGAGGTAATATAAATGAAATCTATGTAAAAAAATTCTTAAGTGACTCTCCTATATTTCTAAACATTGTAATTAGATGTTATTTATGGACTGAAATTGATGATTAAAGGAGTTTCAAAAACAACCTAAGCACTCCAAATTCTCCTAGTAATGACAATAATTTACAAATTTACAAATAATTTTTTATAAATAATTTTTAAAAATCTTGTCCAGAGATAGAAGACTACAACTTTTCAAAGGTAAGTTCCAGTGATAGCCAAGCTGTTCAAGTTCAGGATGTATGAGTTGTTCTATCTCCCCATCCAGGACAACATGCTTCACCTCCTCTCCCATGTCCCCAAAGCCAGCAATATTCCCTTTACACGGGAACTTAGCTTACTTTCCCCATTCAAGGCAGCCGGGAGACTAAAGTCTTATGAAATCCTATGCAAAGAAGATGGGGCTGGGGACCAGGAGTCCCCTTGCACTATTCAGCGTCTAGATCCATGGAGGATGACCATCTCCACAGCAAAGCTCAAAATGAATCTATTGGTGATCTATCATATTACAATGATAATAGTAATATATATAAATTATTCCACAAGGGATAAATCTCTTTGAAGCCTAAATTCTATATGCACATGGTTTAAAGAAAAGCACAGAGAGTTACCACCTGGACAACAGTGGTAATGACCTGAATTTAGTTCTCTATCAATAATTTGTTTCTATTTACCCTGATGCTAAATTCTAGGTCTTTGGAATGAAATAAAAGTGTGAGTCTTTGGGATGATATTTTTATAATAAGATCATGGCAATCCCAAGCTTCTCTATTTAAACCTCACCAGACGTGGAGATGTTGTATTGTGCACTTTGACTTTGTACTTTAATCACTTCCCAGGGCAGGTGGTCTACTTCTGGGAGTTCATGCTTGTCCCAGATCCTCAGACTTTCAGCCTGGCCTTCCCACTCATCGCTACTGGCATTATAAGTTGGTACACAGTTTGGGAAAACAACTTGGCAGTAGATATCAAAAGCCATTAAAAAATGGTTTAAAAAAAGGCAAAGTTGGAAGCAACACAAATGTTCTCAAATAAATAGCTTGAGTAGATTTTGGAACAAAATGCTATATCATTAAAAATAATGGCTAAAGGATTAGTGAAAAATAGAAACATGCTTGGGATATATCAAAGAAATAAATCAGAAGAAAAGTGGTAGATGATATGACTACAACTGTGTAAAATATTTATATGCAACAGGATCAAATGAAATAGAACTCAATGTTTGTGGTAAGGTGATAAAATTACAGGTATTAAGATGGTAGTATCATCTGTATTTTCGAAGTTTTCATTAATTGGCTATGTTATTTGAATTAATAGTATGTAGTATCACACTAATCCATAAGATAAACCTACTAAAAGACAGTAAACTTACCATGGATATAATACTTCTTAACAGATGAAGGGACTCTAAGCCATTTGATGTCACTGTCTTCATTGAGAATTTTCCATTCAATAATAAAAGAAACCAGGTTGTAATCACTGGTTGCTAGGGTCCAGGAAAGAATCACACAACTGCTGTTTAAAGGATAAGCACGGAGTGACTGCACGGTATTTACTGAGGGGGAAAGAAGAAAATTTACTATTAAATTCAAAATTAATGAAAATCTCCTAATACCATTGAGGAACATAGAGCCACTGGAAAAAGGGAGAAGGAAGAGAAGGCAGACATTTACACAAATAAATATAAGACATGGTAATTATTTTTGTATTACAAGAGTCATATGAGCAGAGAGACGTGGGAATATATGCTATTGAGGAGAAACAAGATTCTACCCAAAATCTAAAAAAGGGATTTGGGGATATAGCCAAAAACGTGTTCTCCACTGGAATACTGCAGAAGCCTATTAATCATCCTAATTCCCTCCAAACTCTTCTCTCCCCCTGATGGAGTCATGCTTCCAAAGCACCAATGTGATCATCTTAACGCCCTCTGCAGAGTCCCACTGAAAAGCCTCCGTGGATTTCCACGCGTGAGGATGAAATTCCTGTCACGTCTCCAAGGCCCCGAGGCCAGGCGTCAGCCCGCCTCTCAGCCTGTCAGGATTTTCTACACCAGAGACAGCCTGCTCTTCCTTCACGCCGCCCCCCTGCGCCATGAGGACTTTTCGTCAGATTGTTCCTCCCTCAGGAGCCAATGCTCACCTCCCCACATTTGGGGAAGTTTAATTCCTATGCTACTTCCACAAAAAAGCTTCTCTGACCCTCAATACCAGGTCAGGTTCTTATTTCCTTTTCTTTCATAAAATTATATTCCTTTCCTGAGGACACTTATCTCGGTTTGTAAATGGGAATTCAATTTACGATTATTCAATTAATGTCTGTCTCACCTATTGGACTCAGAATGCTGAGACCATTATAGTTTTTCTTATGTTGAAATTTCCAGCACCTAGCACAGTGCAGCATTCAATAAATATTTCTAGAACATATACATCGAAAATATTTTAAGTGTAAAACACTGTGCTAGGTGCTGTGGAACTTACATGAAGCTTACACTATACGTACAAAAGTAATCATAAGGGGCCGGCCCTGTGGCCGAGTGGTTCAGGTTTCACGAGCTCTGCTTTGGCGGCCCAGGTTCACGGGTTCGGATCCCAGGTTCGGACCTACTCCACTCATCAGCCATGCTGTGGAGGCATCCTGCATACAAAATAGAGGAAGACTGGCACAGATGTTAGCTCATGGCTAATCTTCCTCAAGCAAGAAAAAAAAAAAAGAGGAAAATTGGCAACGGGTGTCAGCTCAGGGCGAATCTTCCTCATCAAAAAAAAAAAAAAAAGTAATCACAATATAAGGCAGGATATAAAATACCTTAAGAAAGGGAGAAAACACTGTGAGACTTAAAGAAAGAATAGGACATATCTAACTAAGGCCATAAGCAAAGACTTCATGGAGGAGGTAACACTTGGAAAGGCCTTTATAGATCGGTAGAGGTGCAGGAAATTTTAATTTTCCATTAAAAAATTATACTTTGAATATTCAACCCAGATTAGAAACTCCTATTGAAAGTGGTTTTCAATTTGCTGATTAATCAAATATATCAAAATTAATGAAAGAGGGTTCATTACTCATATTAAATGAAGTACAGGGCAATTTTCAAGTCTGAGCAATTATTTGCATCCATATAAACATCATACTATTACATATATATGTAATATACATAACACACACAGGTACATGTATTTATTTTTACATATTTTATATATACACATACATATGTGTGTGTGTCTATACAGAAAGAGAGAAAGACGTTTATCTAACAATCTCCATTGGTCCAAAAGGTTTAAGTATTAGATTTACTAGAATATACTCACTTATTATACCATTTCAACAATGTTCTACCACTTGAAAACCCAAAGACCGTGTTACATACTCAGCATACAATTTCTTTTACTATTTTTCAGACAAAGAAGAGAGAAAAGGTGAAAGACAGCCTTTCAGATTCAGAGAATTGCAGGCTTCTTGGAAGACCATTGAGGATGGGAGAAGTTTGCAAAGATTAAATATTAAAAGGGTCACAGGTTTACTACCCTGTACCTTTTCTTACCTTTGCTCATAGGCCATGAGAATGTTAAATTAAAATTCGCAAAAGAAGCACCAATCGAATTGACAGCCAGAACTGTAACAGAATGCGCTTGCTCTGTCCACAGGAAAGTGAACTGAGTGTGATTTCCCACATCCTCTGACCACGTTCCACTGCGGGAAGTATGATGTTTTACCACATATCTTCTCACACTGCACAAGGAGTCATTTTTCATCAGGGGCTGGAGTAAACACAAAAATTGGTGACTTTAAGGGCTACAGTGGTTTTTATACCAACTGAGCTCATGGAACTCTTACTGTACATTTCCCACTGCAGGCAGGGGGCAGCCCAGGGCAGACGCTGCCTTTTTCACAGCTGAAGTAGCGGGAGGAGGGGTAGGATAGAGGCTGCCTCTGACTGCGACTCCAGGAAGGTGTCTGGGTGGGTATGGAGCATAGGAATCTTATTTTCCCCCATCTGGGTTTTTTCTTATGACTCAGAGAATAAGTTATTTGAAGATAATGAAGTGTAGATGCAAATGGGACACATTTCCACCAACAAGTTTCACTCCAATTCTAGTGAAAAGAAAGACTGGCAGGAGCTGAGAGTCTCCTCATCTACAAAGCAAATAAGGAATAACCCTCTGGTTCTGCAAAGCAACGAAAAAGAGTGAAAAGATTCTAATCATCACTTATATTAATCCCAGCAGCATTTGTCACCGGTTCTCCCTTCCCCTAATATGCTGCCACTTCAAGTAACAGAGATTATCAGGACAGTGTAGATGGCAGCCCAGAACTTCTGTCCTATAGTTAAAAAAAAAATCATACCAGGTCATTGACGATACCAACGTAAAATACGTATCTAGTCCAATTCTATTCTTCCATTCTACAGAGTATAACAATATACTTCACTTCCCCCATCACCTTTATCTGTTGCAGGTGAGATTAAATGCTGCCACCCCTTGTAAACCCAAAGAAAGCTTGACTCTATCCATTCATTTACAAAGTTACTTAGGCCTGCACCTTTTTCTCCCACCTTCTTCAGCGAGGTTGTTTCACACACTTGTAATACAGTTAGATTCTCTTGTTGCAGTCTGGATTTCATCCTAGGATTCTCCAACCTCCCAAATGATTTATTTTTAATTTGAATGCATTCAGGTTTGCTCTTTGTGCTATAAAGTTCCAACAGTTTTGGCAAAGGCATAGTGCTATGTACTCATCAGGAAAATATTATACAGAATAGTTTCACCGCCATAAAAAAATGGTGAAGCCTGTGCTTCACCTATTCAAACCTTTCCCCATCAGCTAAACCTCTGGAAACCACTGATCTTTTTATCATTTCTATAGTTATGCTTTTTCTAGAATGTCTTATAAGCAGAACCATAATGTAGCCTTTTCAGATGGGCTTCTAGCACTTAGAAACATGCATTTAAGATTCATCCGTGTCTTTTTGTAGCTTTATAACAATTTCTGTTTATCACTGAATAATATTCCATTTGTATAGAAGTACTATAGTTAGCTTATCCACTCATCTATAGAAGGATACCTTGGCTGCTTCCAGCTTTTGGTGATTATGAATAAAGCTGCTAGAAACGTTCATGAGCAAGTTTTTATGTGGACACAAGTTTTGAAATCAGTTGGGTAAATATCTAATAGTGCAATGCTGGATCATATCGTAAGACTGGGTTTAACTTTCTAAGAAACCATGACACTGTCTTCCAAAGTGGCTGTACCATTTTGCATTCCCACCAGCAAAGAATAAAAGTTCACTCTTTTTTTAGTCAGTTTTTTGGATTTAATTTATTGTCAGTTTTTTGGATGTTAGCCATTCTAATAAGTATGTAGTAGTATCTTATTGTCATTTTAATGTGCAATTCCCTAGTGACAAATGATGTTTGCTATGGACTGAATGTTTGTGTCTCCTCAAAATTCTGACCAAAAAAATTTATTCACTTGGAATAGAAATCAATTCATTTGAGAGAGGGAATGCTTTGAAAATTGCTAGACTGAATATCTATGGTTTGGGAAATATCCATTGTTTAAGGCCATCATAGAAATAGAATAATCTCTTGTTTTAGATGCCCTTGATATCTCAAGGGCCATGGGGAAGGCCATGTTTGTTTTGTTTAGGATTAAATATAAACAGAATTTGGGGACTTGAAGGAACACTAAATATCATCTAGTCCAATCCTACATTTATACAGATGAGGAAACTGAGGCTAAGAGTCTAAGTGGCTTTGCTAAAACAGCACTGACGTAACTACAATATGTTAAGCTGAGAAGAGAATTACAGTCTCCTAACTCCATGCCAGTGCTCCCTTCACTATACATCTCAGCTCTCTGCAATCACATCTCAAAATTGAAATGAAAACATGGGATGGCAGAACCTTCTGGAGATTACTAACGTCAGGATTAGGAACAACGAAGTAAATCTTTTAAGACTATAAAAGTAAAATTTAAGAATAACATAAAAAGCAGAAATACCTTCCAAAGTAAGGTGACATTTTTCTCTTTTTTAGTGGTATCTTCATTAATTATTCTCCAAAATTCAGGTCCTCTGATAGGAACTGCATAATGACAAGGAGCCCGAGTTGTACACGTGTTCTTGGAAAGCATATATTTCAGTTATATTTGAAACACACACTTATGCATTTTTAAGACACATTTACAAAAACTCTGCAGACCTCTTACGTCCATGACAACCGTGTAGGCTGGCGTACTCCAGTTACTCCAATACCCCAGTCCATCCTGCCTCCTGCAGCGCACCTGAACAACATAGACTGCACACAGGTCTGGCACCGGGAAACTGGTGGATTTTGATCTTGCATCATGTACCTCATACATCTGTAAAATAAGTCAAAGCATTCGAATGATCGTCACGAACACCTATGTAGGTAAAGGGCCCTGAAGTGTATTTTGTTTTAAAGCTTAACACTATTCTGGGCCGGCCCCGTGGCTTAGCGGTTAAGTGCGCGTGCTCTGCTGCTGGCGGCCTGGGTTCGGATCCCGGGCGCGCACCGACGCACTGCTTCTCCGGCCATGCTGAGGCCACGTCCCACATACAGCAACTAGAAGGATGTGCAACTATGACGTACAACAATCTACTGGGGCTTTGGAGGGAAAAATAAATAAATAAATAAAATCTTTAAAGCTTAACACTATTCCAAAATTAAGAGAGAACTGACTGTATTTTCTGGCTTTAGAAATACTCATATGAGGCTTGGATCATGAGCTCCTTCAGGTTAAAAATTGTCCTAGTCATCTTATTATTTCCCTCTCATGACACAATTTGGACTGGTTCACTTGCAACCTCACTTCCCAAACACTCTCTTAACCCTATTACTAATCTCTGTCCACTAACCCTCTATCCACAAAGACTGTTAAGAACTTTAACCCAGTGGTTAGATAGGGCCTTCTGTAGAGAATCTCTGATATTCAGTCTCCTCAATAAGCAGATAACCTGTCACCCTCATTTCAGTTGAAATCATTGTGATCTAACGACATAATTAGGGTTCCTGGTGAATCTTGGTCTTTGCAGGCCGCCATCAGAGAACTGACACAGCAAGTCATCATATGCACACTTGCCACAATGGGTATGATTCTGGTTGTTTGATAAAAGCAGCTTCTCCCAAAATGCATCCCAATGAATGTACCTGTACTAAAGAATATTATTAGATGTTAGAGGAAAAAAGGTTCCTTGGTAAAATGAGTTTGAGAAACATAGGATGAAATAAAGTCACAAATGTTTCTTTAATGAAAGACTCTCCAAATCTTTAATATGTAATATTCTGTGACTCTACACTAGGGACATACAGTGATGCAGGGTTTTCTAAACGTATTTAGCCACGCAATCTTCTCAACGCACATTTTATGGGGCCAATGTTGTGTAACACTCACTTTGGGAAATGACGGATTACAGGAAATTTCATTCCTTAAAAAGGTTAGACTTAGATCAATTTATTTAACATAAATAACTACAAAATACAGGAGGATGTACTGTTATGCCAACAAAATAAATCTTATGCAATAAAATTCTTAAATAGTTATAACAAATAACATTTAGGGGCCGGCCCCGTGGCGTAGCAGTTGGGTGCACATGCTCCGCTGCTGACGCCCTGGGTTCGGATCCGGGCGCGCACCGAGGCACTGCTTGTCGGGCAATGCTGTGGTGGCGTCCCATGTGAAAAGTGGAGGAAGACGGGCACAGATGTTGGCCAGGGCCAGTACTGCTCAACAAAAAGAGGAGGATTGGCATGGATGTCGGTTTGGGGCTGATCTTCCCCACAAAAAAACAAAACAAAACAAACAAACAAAAAAGAAATAACATTTAGTGAGGCAAGCTGAAGAAAGTTCCAGGTAAAAGGTACCTTCCATTGTACTTCTTTTCCATTTAAACCATAGCGAATCTGGAACTGAAGATTATTCTCGGGAAAGACTGGCTTTTCCCAAGATACTTTCAATAATCCAATTTTTACAGTAATTTCTGCTTTCACACTGGATGGAGGCAGTGGTTTCACTAGAAATTTAAAAAACAGCATTATACAACAGTAATTTAGATGATGTTTAAAAAACATTATTATGACATTATCTTTATATATTTATAAGGCAGTATCTCTTTCTTAAAACTTTCTCATTCATTATGGATATGATCCCCTACAACTTTATGTGATACATAAGAAAGGGATTATCTCTATTTTGCAAATAGAGAGGATGATTGAAAAGAAAATCAATACACTGTCCTTGTCACTCTGCAAGTTAATAGTTAACCTGGTTAGAAATTGAGCCACTGGCTCTGCATGCAAAAGCTACCACACTGAACACGTGGTCAACATCAACAGCAAGCTCTGCTTCACACAGAGCTTCAATTAAGGGCAAGAAACACGCACTGCATCCATTCCCACACGTGTGAGTCTCAAACTCTTCTCCTACATCTACTATTAAGTATTTCCAGGTGAAGGTCAGAGATAGTCTTGCAGAGTAAAGCCTTGGTTCTCTATAATCTAAGAGAAACAGACTTTTAAAGGGCAGAAATAGAGGCAAAGATGACCAGAATATCAAGAGCTCTAAAAAAAAGTAAAAGATGATATGTGAACTCAACGCACTTGGGAACTAAAAGTCCCAAAGCCCAAGTGCGAGCTCAGGACTTCATCAACAACAACATCTGAGACTGCTGACGACCAAAACTCCTCCACTCCTCCACTATCACGCAGTTTCCCATGCTGCCTCAGTGCTTCCTCCGCCAGGAAGACACTCTTCACCAACTAGTAAGACGACATCCATTTCATCTCTTGAAAGATAATTCCTCCTCAGGAAAGGAAGCATGAATATTCGAAAGACCCTAAGACATTAGATCTGGGATTGTACTTGACTGGAGCATATGGATACCATATGGATACAGCCCACGAACATCTAGTTTGCAGAAAGGATGCTCTGAAGCACCCTAGTTTACGTGGTCCCCACGACACCCACGCTGGGGAGGTATGAACAGCTTTACACACTTTATGGGTGACAACCAGTCACGGAGCACTTACAGGTTTACAAGGCGAGTAAGAGGTCAAGCTGGCATTTGGACCCCAGAGTTGGATTTCCACATTGTTGTCTAGTAGTAAGTAGGCAACATAAGCCCAACTCTAACTCCTTATTTTAGCACCGAAGAGAATAACATCAAGGGTTATTCAGATAGCATCCAGAACTGAACCCATGTTGCATTTGTCCTAGAGTACACGTGAGGGTGTATCTGCGCGTGTTTGTGCGGAGAGAGTAGGAGGGGTCTTTGCTATCCTGGGATATTGAGTATCAGAGAAGTGCTGCCTACTAAAAAAATCACCTAAAATGGAACCAAACTAAATAGTGTGTGTGTGGGGAGGAGCAATCAATTAAGTGGGACTTTATATTGATAAAGAAACCAAAAAATTATAACTTTATCTTACCTTTAACAAAATGTGGATTTTAATTCAGATGTATACTAATTATTTGAAATTATAATGAATCAAATATTGATTTCTGGCATAATTTCCCAATAAAATAGCATATAGCACCAAAAGATATTCTTTTACCTCTGCTGCACAATCATTAATAGGTCATTTCTCAAAGATTTCACAGTAATACTGGAGGGATATATCATATTTTTCAAGGGCTCTCTTAATCCTTTGAAATCAAAATATCTTTCAAAAAGAGTGTTTAAAATATCATGATGGATGTCATCATCCCTGTCTATTTTCTCTTCTTCACTTCACTTTAGTTATTTTGAATCCTTCTACTCCCTACATAGCCTCATAAATTAAAGCCTTGGGTTATGATTACTCAGATTACAAAAACTGTCAGAATACTCAAATTAAACTTTTAGATTAAAAACACCAAATATTTTCATAAGTACATTAGGAGAAAAACACAAAGTAGGGCATTATTTATAATAATATTACTACTAAATTTCATTCCCAATGACCAATATAATTCATCGACTTGTATGCTGAAAATATTCCTATTGCTAAAAAATTGAGCTATAAATAATTTACAATAAAATCAAAACTGTAAAACTTTCTAAGGCTGGTTGTCATCTCAATTCCACTGTAAACAGGAAAAAAAAATTTAAATCTAGTGTGATCAGAAAATGGTAAAATACAACGGTTACCCTGAATCAACCTGGATCCAAATCTGCTAATAAAAATGAAGACACACAGCACAGTGTGACATACCCACAGAATCAGGAACGACACACGCTGGAGGAGAGTCCAGTGAACCCAAAGAGTGGTTGATTCTAATCCACATCGTATAGCCAGATAACAGAAAGATGGGCTGAAACACGCATTCACGAAAACCATCTCTCTGCAAACGGCAATCTTTGGGTTCAGATACGGGATGAACAGATGGAACATCAGAACAGTAAAGGCTGCTCCTTAAAAGATACAAAAACACTCAATTAATATACAACATTGATGAGAGCAGTGAGATATTTGAGAATTCTGCTTTGCTGTTTAAAGAGACAGTTTTTGCTCCACTTAAAAACAGATATTCTTATTGGAAAGCATTTTTGAATTCCCAGCTATATCACAATCTTACGTCCTTCCATAAAAATAGACAATAACCCTTATTAAATATTTCATTAGACACTAAATGGGGACGCAAGTGAAATAAATGACATTGCTCTAACAAGAAGATAAGGATTCAATTAGAGGTAGAACCTACAGCACTTTGAAAGCTAAGCTAATATTATACCCAAGTGACACAATTTTAAAAGTGCAGCTCACAAGTAGGAATGGTGCATTCCTGAGATGGGAAGGAAGGTAAATTCCTCACATTTTAAACAGAGATTAAATTCCATGACAAATGGAAGATGCAATTGATAGTAAATATAGCTTAACTGACAGTGTTCTAATATTTTCTAGTTCAAAACAATATAATTAAAATAAAACCAATTCTTGATTTGCACATGAATCATATAGTCAAGAATACACTCATTTTCTCAGAGAAGAAAATTTTTCTTCATAACTGCATAGCAATCACCACGCCACCTCAGAACATACAGAGCATTTCTCCGCTTCTTTGAAACAGCCTTTCTGCCACTATTAGCTCTGAATACGGTATTTAAGTGGCTAAAGTAGCAGTTACTGTTTCCACAGGAAGACGAGTAAGGAGGTTACAAGAAAATGAAAAATCTATATTCTTCTGTCTCTCATTTTCCATTTTTTGTGACACCTTGTTCTTCCTATTTCCTCGAAATTACAATCATGGGGGTGTGTGTGTGTGTGTAAATGAGTGGTGGGGGGTGAGGGAAAATGACAATGAGGGATGAGGAGTCATCTGCTGGTGAAAAATAAGAACCATGACCTTACATAGAAGCTCAGTAAGAGTGCACTTGGAATCCAACAGTCAGCATCATTATCATCATGACAGCAATAACCATTTACTGAATGTTTATCAGGAGAAACTATATCATTTAATTATTATTAAATGAAACATGTCATAATTCTCTCAGAAACCTTCAAGTCCTATTATTCTCTCCATTTTACAGACAAGGAAATGGAGGCTCAGAGAGCTCAAAAAACTCGCCCAAGTACGTGCCGCTAGTTTCACGGTTCCTCTGTAAAGGTCAGTTAGACAAATGAGGCCTCGGGCTCATGGAACAGTCGTCCACAAACACCTTTTTCATGTGAAATGCCATGGAAAGAAAATAAAGACAATGGCATAACATGAACATTCTATGGATTTAGAAATACTCCTATCAGGTAAGATGACACAGCTATTACTCTCATGTGAGAAATGGTCCCATTTTTTCTACTACTACAAAAGAATAGACTGGTAGCATTAGGAATAGAATTCAGATCACAGTATTTGAGGAACGGACTTGTTTTTCAAATAGAAAATTTACATTTTAAGAATAAATGAGGACAAGTTATACAAACTGAAAGTCCCCAGTCCAAATCCAAATTCAAATTGAGACAGGGTGTTTAGGAGAAGTACAAATACTTGAAAACTACTATGGGATATTATAAAAATAAAAATGTGTCTACCTTCTTCTAATCAAGAGTGCTACTATTTTAGATAAAACTCTTTGCAGAGAGAAGGAGAATACTATAGGAAGATGATGCCTTAAATTCTTTTTAAAACAGGGGAGGGTAAAAATAAACAAGCACAAATTACTCTATCAGGACACTTTAATCCTTATTAAGTATTTCTTTCTTTAATCTTACCTACTTCTAAAAGCCATTCATACATTCTCTTACAATCTTTGTGCCACCACCTCTGACTTTTTTCCAAAACATTAACCTTCAGCAAATGATATTAGCCTTCTGTAATCTTCAATATTCTCCTCTCATCAACCCTCTAAGCCAAATTAAAATGTACAGAAACTAATTTATCTTGGATTTCATTCAATAGTTAAAATGCAACTACGGAGAATTAATTGATTGTCAGAAAACATAATTTGAAGTAAAGACAAATTACAATTTTTTTACAACCTGTGAATTTTTTCAACAATCATCAATTTATTTAATCCCTCAAAAATTTCCTAGTTAAGTATATTCTACCTTCCCCTTTCAGGAAGAAAATCTACAAGACTACAGTGATGGCGATATTTCTACAAGAAGTTTTTATTTCACCATACCCACAGAAAAATAAAACAGCAAAAATAATACATACCTATGATACCTCAACTGCAAAGTACTTCCCACAAGCGATTGGATTGCATTGGCTGACCATCTGCAAGTCATTTTAGTTAAGTACCCATCAGTTTCACATGATATATTGATATTGACATCTATTTAAAACACATTAAAATATTAATACAAAGCAAAAACACCACAAAAAGTTTAATGAAAATAAATTTTCCTCACATCTTCAACGGGACTCTAATACAGGGTCCATAAGAAAAACTTATCTTGTGGAACAAAATGAAGCACACCGCAGTACTCTTACCAATCACATACAGCTCCGCGTAGCGATGGTGGCATTCACGCTCATTGCAGCAGTACACCGCGTCATAGGTGAACTTTCCTCGAGGTTTGGTTGCATTCAGACTGGGAAGGGTAACTTTGCTAACACGGTCACCCACAACATTATACTGGCTTTGAGGAATTTTCTCAGCTAAATTCATCCACCAAACAATCTTTTTTGAGGAAACAATCTTGTTTTCATTTTTATAGATGCAGTGAAAAGAAGCGTTAGACCCAACACTTGTCAGAATTTTAGGCGGGAAGTATATGACATCTGTAATGAGGGAAGAAACGTGGGACATGAGATGAAGACAGAAAACACCATGCTAGCAATTTACACCACGTAAAGAAGATTCACAATGTGTTCAGGATTACACTGCCCCCCCCAATAAGTGTGCTAAAAGACTGCATAACTGTAACCGCCTGTTCACGAACAGTTACCTAGCGTCCCAAGCACTCCCCTTCTCAAATGATTTGAGCTTCCATTAATGTCTTCACTATTTTCTAAACATAGAAACTTATTCATTATAAAATGTGTTTTAGTGAGTAATTGTCACTTGCTTAACTGATGGGCAGAAAATTAATGAAAAAGAAATATAGTCTAATTCCACAATGACGTCTTCCATCAGACTGCTTTCAGAATCAGCAAACCTTAGGGTGAGTTTTTAAATCAAATCACTTTAAGAAAAAATCTTGAAGAAAAAATGGTGGTTACTATTGTCTCGTCTGGATATATGGGAATTTCAAATAAGCAGGTAGAGAAATAAGCTTTAAATAAGAAAACTAGTTAGGAAACGTAAAATCAAGGACGCACCAATATATAAAGCAAGAAAAACTAAATATTGGTCTATAATATCATTTTAAGTTATTTAATGCCAGTATTCTCCGGTTGGGGAGAAGGGGAATCAATATTTTTCTAAAATATTATTTTTTAATGCCTACACACTATTCCATACTACATTTTCAGTCTCCTGTTGTTGGAAACATAGTTTGCCTATATTTTTAATTAGAAACAGATAAAAATGAATGATTGTTTACAGAGGAAGAAATTATTTCTGCCATCGAGTATTACAAAAACTATATTTCAATTGCATAATTTAAAGTAAGCCATTTTCTGATAGAATATGAATATCTGTTTTCATACATATCTTCTGGATTACACCTAAAAACAAAAAACTTTGTTGGTTTTTATTATTTAAGTTTTCTCTTTTCTGTAAAAGCATGCCAAATTCTAACGTCTTTATATTTACAATCCATACCTTTTATATCTACAGTCAAGCATAAACAGGAAAAAAGTTAGCAGCATGAAATTACTGGACAGAAGCCAGTCCCTTAGATTTACAGCCCTACACAGGGTGGCAATCAAGCTTCACTGGTACATTCCTCAGGGCACACGAGGACCTAGCACAGACCTGAGAGAGCATTAACCCCCCTCCCAAACACTCCACATCCCATTACTGAACTGCTTCAAAAGCCTCAGAATAATTCTGTTTTTTAAAGAGCACAAATGAGATTTCAAAAATTAAGTTGAAGATTTTAATTTTAAAGATAATAAAAAGCTCAAAGCATTTCACTTCAAAACTGAATGCCTAAGTAAGGCTTAATTGAGAAATAAGACTAAAGTCATAGTATTTTAGCATGATTAAATGCTAAAATATTAGCTTAAAAAGAAAAACAAGTTATTAAAAACCTGATTATTGGTAAAATTTTTACTGAACAAATGTATTGAAATTGATATGAGGTAAATGTTGAATATTTAATTTTCAAAATAATATAAATATATATTTTATCTCATGAGATATTATACAATATTTAGTTTGTAAAATAAGAAAACAATGATTTTCTTCTCATGAACAAGTAGCAATACCTTTGCAGGATCTATATATATATATTTTTTTTTAAGGAAGGGTTTTTTTGTTTTGTTTTGTTTTTTGTGAGAAAGATCAGCCCTGAGCTAACATGCATGCTAATCCTCGTCTTTTTGCTGAGGAAGACTGGCTCTGAGCTAACATCTATTGCCAATCCTCCTCCTTTTTTTTTCCCCAAAGTCCCAGTATATAGTTGTAGTCATAGTTGCACATCCTTCAAGTTGCTTGCAGGATCTATATTAATGAATTTTATTAAAAGAGGAAATTCTATTGATAAATATTAGTGAATTGCTCAAAAGAACATAAACCATGAATCAAAACACATTAAAGTTATTTTAAATTTTGTGTCTTTAGTATAGTTCCAGAAAATAAATTTTTTAATTCTTGGAGTAGATTTCCTATTTTTCTTCAAAGGGAAGATATTTTCTCTAACCCATTATAAGAGCTGCCAGGTATGAAATGTAGAAATTATCTAATACGTTTCTCCTCTTCTTTGGCAGCAACAAGAATGTAGTTAATAAAGGTATTACAAGAATTCAGCACTTCTAAAGTTGTTTTCAGTGTGTAGCAAAACATAACTGCAATATTCTTGGACTTCATAAGTTCTGGCACGGTCCTGGGTTTTCCTCTAAAAGTCCAAGACCTCCCAACTGCTACAGAAAAAGAACCTAGCCAATTCATTTTAAAAGAATCCATAAGAATTCCTCGATTAGGAATAGTTAATGCTTCATGAACTTGCACTTGGTAGGTACAACTTTAATTTGTCAATGAGTAAAAAGCAGTGGTTATAAAGGTACTGATAATTAGCATTCTGTTTGCTATGGCAGCAATACATCAGCTAACCTCTGTTAAAAAAATCCAAAGCGTTTGGAAATAATAAAGCAGTTGTGCCAATTCACTCTAAATAAATTACCACCTCAAGCTTACAGAATGTTTCTGTCTGGTGGCTGCCCTTATAGCACCTACCAGTGAACAGTGGAGGAGAATCTAATAATATTAAGTAATTAGACTTAACAGAAGATGACTCAAATCCCTTTGGGCAAAGGATAGGAAGTCCCCGAGTTTGGAGAAACACATTTTGCTGCTGCACGCTGTTCAGCTGACCAGGGTGGGAATTGCTGCAAAGGTAATTCAGCAAACCTAAACCTAACCAACACTGAAACCTCATTACCAGGAATCACGAAGGAAATGAAATGTTTCACTGAAACACGCTATGTAATTAAGCTTACTGCTTACTAGCTTTGAGTATCAATTTTTAGCGCTACCAGAAATCTTGCATAATTATACATTATGCATTTAATCTCCTTATTAGTGGTTACAAACATGAACTTTGCAATTAGACTGTCAGCTCTACTTTCTGGCTGTATCAACCTTTACAAATTACTTAACTGCTCTATATATAAATTTCCTAGTCTATAAAAGAAGAATGAGTACCTATCTCATAGGGTTGTTGAAAGGATAAAACAATATATGTAAAGCACTTAGAACAGTGCCTGAAACACAGCAAGCACCTTATAACTGTATTATTATTATTATTATTATTATTATTACTATTATTATACAGTAGGGAATTATGAACCTAATTATACCTTTTATTTGTGGTTCAGCACTCATCATGACCTCATCACAGCAGATGACACGGTTATAGACAAATGTGCCTGGGAACTACTCCAGTGTACAGGCTTTTCTCCCCACTCCTGGTGACTTGAGTCTGCTTTCTTTTGGCAAGTTTCCGTCTTTCCCTTAATAATCACCTGTTACCACTCAGTGGCATCTAAGCTGTCCAAGTTTCTTAAATTAGTAAGCCTAATTTTACTCTCATTGCTAAATCAACAAAGTCTGCCCTTTGGGGCAGCTATTTACTCACTGTCTGGATTCTTTTCACTTATTTTCAGATTTTTCTGTTTGGGATATCTAAAGTCACTAGAGAGACAGTTGTGGTGAATAAACAGAAGGCTAGCCGTTAATGGTAATATCATTGGATATTGTACAAGCAAATAAATTTGCAAAGTTTCTTTTCAACAAAACATATCTTTATTACCTTCATGTACACAAAACACTAAATAGTTGCAAATGGAAGAGAATATATATGTGTGTGTATATGCTTTACAGTATATATTACTAAATCTGATTATTTTACATGTGAAAGCATAAAAATATGATCCAACATATTAAGAAACCAGGCAAATTTAATCCTACAGATACTGACATGAGTTAGGAAAGTAACAGAAGAATAAAAGGGTTTAGTAAAAAGTAAAATAGAACTAAAAATATGTCCACAAAGGCCTAAAATCCTAAGTTGAACAACCTAAAACAGAATCTTATGTGAAAGGTAACACAGATAACTATTATATTATACTGGATCAAAATTTGATCTAAAATTTTTTATCTTAATCCAATTGAATATGTAACATTGTTAAGAATCATTATTCTAGAAAGGTATAAATGTATAACTCTTGACTATTTTCAAACTTTAAAAACAATGATGATTCTTTTAGAATTTTCCTCCTCTTCAGGGTAAGTTTTCAGATCTAATTAAAAAGCAGAACGGTGAAGAAGGAAGCCATTTTCTCGTGGAAGGGAAACATTTCACCAGGTGGTTGAATAAGGGCAGCAACCCACAGGCCACTCCGGGGGGTAGGGGATGCTGCCTTCCACTCCTTTATACAACCGCCCTCCTCCACCACCCACTTCATCCCATCCCACCATATGAAATCCTCCACGGGACAGTCTTTGAAATTTGATGTTGTTAATTCATTCCTCTCCACATATTTCACAGCTCGTCATCAAGACCTATTAATCAATGGAACATAATTGAAGATAGAAGATTTAACCTTCCTCAGAAAAAGAAAAATTCTAAAGGCTGAATTGTTTGCATCATATTACACACATTGTGATACTCAATGATTACTTGAGGAATAGAGATGAGAATGCCTTGTCTCCTAAATCTGCTCACACAAGGTCCCTGACTTTCCCAGTGAGAATTAATCCTCCTGTTGCTCAGCACTTTGTGTAGCTCTTCTCACAACCTTACTTGTGTTAAGCAATTAGTTATGTATCATGTCAATCTCTCTCATTACTTTGAGATTTTGAATACTGAGATTGTCTATTTATAAACTACGCTAGTATCTACTATTTCTTGAGTGTTTCTAAGGGTAAGTAAGGGACTTAACATGCATTATTTCATTTTACCCATATAAAAACATCCCTATTTCTCAGATGAGGAAATTGAGGCATAGAAAGGTTAAGAAACTTTCCAAATAAGTGGTGGGGCCAGGATTTCTATAAACTTAGGTCAGACTCCAAAGTCTTAAACCACTAATGCTAGTTACTGTGTGACTAATCAACGCTTTTGAAATAGTAAGTAATCAATAAATAAACATATTTAGTTAAATGTGCTAAATATCTGCATAATGCTTTACATGGTACTTGCTATCTCCATAATCAACCCCAGTGAGTTTGAGTAGGAATGATTTTCCCTATTTGACAGACCAGACGACCAATCAAAGGACCATGAAGTGTCCTCCTGTGGTCACAACCCAGCATGTGACAGTGCTAGGACTATTCTTAGGCTCTATGCAAAACACTGCACCTCATCTTCATGAGGAAATTGTGAAGAAACTGCAGTTTTTCTGATGTTAAAGATAACTTTAAAAACATGAAAACTCAAAGTGCAAATTCTAAAAAGCAAGCATCTGGAATGAAAGAATTATTTTATTATATAATGCATAATATTCAAATAAAAGTTTACTATCTGAAATTTACGTCAAATAAATATATCTGATTTTCAAATGTAAATTAATCAATTGTAATTAATCAATACAGGTAGTGTTCTGAATTTGTGAATTTGGAACTTTTATATTAACTCTATGTTCTCAATAACTCAGCAACATACTGCATGGATGTACACACACTTAGGAGCTCTTACACAAGTTTTCATCAACAAAATAACTTGTTCAAAATTTAAATTAAAAGTTAATGTTGTGTTACTCCTTTTGGTTTACTGCCACAAAATTTAAGATGCTTATAATATGCCAAAGGCAAACTTAGGAACCACATTCCCCTCTCAGTAGAAGCCACTATCACAAAACCCACCTTGAGTGGTAAAGACAAGAGGGGTGCTCCAGTCACTCCAGATCCCGGGCCCATCCAGTCTCCTGCCCCTCACCTGAACCTCATACGAAGACCCAGGAAGCACACCGTCCACTAGCACAGATGTAGCCGAAACAATCTCATCAGCCTGTTACATATTATTTGAAAACGTCAGAGCATCAAGTCGACATGGAACCTTTACCAAAATTGATTACAGGCAGGTCTCAACAAATTTCAAAGACTTAAAATCACACAGAGTAGTCAGCTGGCCACAGTGGAACTAAACAGAAATCAATAACCAAATAACAAACGTTTGCACGTTAGTCAATAAAATTTTAAATAACCCATGAGTACAAGAAAAAAATCACAATGACAATTAGCAGATATTTTTAACTGAATGATCGTGAATATTTGACCTCTGAAAATCTGAGAGGTACAGCTAAAGTCGGCCGAAGCTGCAAGCCACTGCTGACATCTATAACGCACACACGGTAGGAAACGATGAACACTGATGGACAGAGAACTATACACGTCCCTAGAGGAAAGCGTAGCAGAAGGAGGGCCTGAATAATTTTAGAACCTAAACTACAAGTAGCTAAGAATTGCTTAGCGAATAAATTCAGTTTCCCAATGATGTACTCCAAAGCTACTGAACTCCCTGGCCTCACAGACTGTGGGGCATCACAGACTAAAAATGGTGAAAAGCGTTAGGAACACATGAAACACTGTCAGATCACCTATATTTAAAATTCGATTATCTCCATTTCACAGCTGAGAAAGCTGCAGCCCCGAGAAGCCTTAACTCTGCTTTTCCCACACACGACACAAAGGATTCCCATTCTGCTCTTTAAGAAAATAAAGTCTTTTAAAAAATTAGCCCAAATCTAAAAAGATCGTTTTTTCCCGCTAAATTACATAACAATTAGTCTCCCCAAGTGAAGTGCAGAAGTCCTCGCACGCCCAGGCTCTTGAGGATCTCCTCCTTCTCCCTTCCCGTCTCGGGTTCATCCACATTCCTCTTGCCCTCCCTCACTCCCCAGCCCGCCAGCTTCTCAGCCAGCTTATGGCCTCTGAATTGCTGTTTTCTCTATCTGGAGCCCAATTCCCCCAGATATTTACATCACCGTCTCCTTCAAATCCTTGCTCAAATGTTGCCTTCTCAATGAGATCTTCCCCCACCTCCATTTAATATTACAACCTACCTTTTCCCACCAGCACCCCCAGACTCCTCTCATCCTGTCCCACTGTCTCCTAGTACAAGTAGAACAGCTCCTGACATCTAGGAGGTGCCCAATAAACTGACCGCTCTCGAGGGAGCATCACGTGGATACACTGAGGGCGTTTTCTACGGGAAGTGGAGGGGGTCTCACTTATGTTGCTTCTTAACTTTTCCTTTTATTTACTAAAATATACTTACTTCTCTCATTTTTGTTGTTGAATTCTCTGAATATTTCACTTGATATTGAAGTTGAAATGGTAAAAATGTTGGGCTGGACCAAGAAATCTTTAAATTACCACTGTCTGTAATTTCCATATGCAAACCTAGTGGAGGATCAGGCTTCACTTAAGAAAAAAAAGAGAACACTTTTAAGTCAAGCAATTTTTATGATAATCATAAAATGAAGTCAACATGAATTTTTAGCATACCCTGTTCTTTCAACTACTTAAAAGGTGACCTTATTCAAGGGCTAATTACAAAACCAAAATCTTGGATCTACTCCTTGTACCTTATCATAGCAACCCACAAATCTTCATTTCCTTCTCCCCAATTGATAAAAACTATCAATCAGTAAATGAGGTTATTTTGATAAATATGAATTGCTGCTGTTAAAAAAGCCTGCTTACGTTTATTTAACCTAGCATTTCCCAAACTTATTTGAAGCCACCCACTTGTCTTAGTGGGTAACAAAGAAAAAAGCATTTGCAGAGCACTATTTGAAAAATGCATGCAGATTTTACATGCAAAATTTCAGGCAAATACGCATGTGAAATTCAGCAAATCTATTAATTTTGAAATACAACAATATAGGCATACCTACTTAAATAACCCACAGCAGGCATATTTTACATGCATTAAACACAGCATTAGCAGTCCCTGGCTTGTCACCAGAAATGGGGATGGAGTTTCTTAGCCTAATGGGGTGTTTAACCTGGTAAATGATTTCTGGGTTCATATGTATATGCATGTGTTTATGTATGTATATATGCACTTGTGCATATAAATATGTGGAGATATGTGTCTGTGTATGTAGTTCTAAGCACACAACAAAACCTTTAGATTATTTGCAGAAACAATGTAAACATCTTACAATAAAGGATTGATTGAATAAATTATGGTTCAGCCCTATATAGGAAATCTATACAGCCATTAAAAATCATATAGGAGAAGAATATTGAAAATGTTTAATACTATTAGTTTTAAAGCTTTATTAAATGACATCTATACTTGGATTCCTAATTTGTTAAAATTAGCAAATAAAAAGGATATGTATAAATATGTGTTAAAAATAGGAAAAATGCCAAAATGATAGGAAACAGATGATGCATTTTTCTTCTTTGTACATCTCTATGATTGCAAGATTTTTACCATTAACAGGAATTACTTATGTAAACAGAAATAATCATTACATTGAAACATTTACTGATTTGGAATTTATTTTCAAGAAATAAAATAGTACATAAATATTTTTCACATTCTATATTTTCAGGAATTTAGATACAGTTTTTCTCTTTTCCTTTAGTCCAAATTAATGAAGTTTTTACTTTGTCACATATTACAAATTTTAGTTACTTTAAAGAAAGAACATCTAAACATTAAAGTCTGGAAACAACAGGTAAAATTCACAGAGTTCCCATGACCAAAAAGAAAAAAAATAAAATAAAGACACCAAATAGGAGTGAAATCATAAAATATAAACTATTGTACATCTTCTATCTGCATACAAAACACCTTAAAATTGGACATCTAAAACTAAATTTTTCCCTGGACCTCCTATGTACCCAGTCCCAGATATACTCCCATCAACCCACTTCTTCCAGAGCAGCATTCCTCAGAAGGGTTGGCATTACTGACTCTCTCCATCTTGTATCCCATTCCCTAACCTCCCTACTCCCAGGTTTTCCTCCTCCCTGGTCCACTGAAACTGCTCTCATCACGGTCACTACCCTTTGCCAAATCCAGCGTCAGTTGCCTGACTCATTGTACTCCATCGCCAGGCAGCACTCCATACAGCTCACTCTGAGTAGCTGCAATACTTTTCCCACTCAGCTTCCAGGCCACCACACTCTTTTACTCCTCTTTCTCTCTGATCACTCCTCAGTCTTTCTCTCACTGAACTCTGAATGGGTGAGCTCATACAATCCCATAAACATCTATATGCTAGAGACTCCTAAATATATACTGCCCCTAGGCTTATATATCCAACTGCCTACTCAACATCTCCTGGGTTTCTAATAAGGACCTCAAACATAATGTGTCACACACACCTAATCCTTCCCAAATTTCCCCATCTCAGTAACTAGTACCGGCATTCACTAACGCAGTCAGGTCCAGGCCTCAGCATTATTCTTGCTTCCTCTCTGTCCTTCACGCTCCACATCCAATCCACTAGAAAGTTCAGTTGGCAACATCTCCCAAACAGAGCCCTAAGCTGATCATTTCTTTACTTTCTCCACTGCTACAACCCTAAGCCAACTGGACAGTTCCAACAGCCTCCTCTCTGAGCCCTCTGCTTCCACTCTGGCAATTATCCTTCCCCCTTCCCCGTCGATTTCCTTCACCACAGGTAGAGCACACACACACACACACACACACACACACACACACGCATACGCACAACCTGATCATGTCACTCTCCTGATTCAAAAGCTTCCATCGCAATTAGAATAAAATCCAGACTCTGTAACCCTGGCCTATGATAGATGTGGACCCAGATGACTCTCTGACAACACCCCCAAACGTTCTCCTCCCTCATTCACTCTAAGCACAAGGGCCTTCTCTTTGGTTCCTCCAGCTACCAAGCTCATTCCATCTCAGGGACTTTGTGAGTGCCATTCTTCCTGCTTGGAGCACTTTCGGTTCTGGATCGGTGGTTATGGCTCTCTCTCCTTCATTCAGCTCAAATGCTATCTCCTAAAAGAGGTCTTCTTTGACCTCCTTAGCTGAAATAATAACCCCTTCCCTGGATTCTCTCCATCACACCACCTGCCATTTCTTTCAAGGCACTTAAAATTTTGGGACATTATATGCCTAAATATAAGGAATGATTTTTTCCCCAAAATTATCCCTGAAAACAGACAAAAATTTGTTTAAGGCTCTTATAAAGTCTATCATACCACTTTCTCTTAACTACTTTATTTTTAAAAACAACCCACTTCAATGCTGGCTTTAAATGTTTCTAAAAATCACCAGACAGAAATGGTTTTAAAAAGAGAAGATGATGATATTTTATAGATTTTGCATTTTTTTCCTGTGGTAGAACTTCATGACCGAATTGCTTGGGTGTCATTGTAATTACATTGTGGTGATCACAGATATATTCCTAGAGGACAAATTATTTGAAAATCCTAATACAATGTCAAATGTTAAAATACAATGTCATGTGCAGATTCAAAAAGTGCTATATTTCCAGTAACTTAGAAAGGATTGAAGGTGAAGTTGTGTGGAAAATTGTGTCAGATACCTTGAAAAGTGGCTCCAGTGATGTCAAAAACAATGACAAAAAGATGCATGTAGAGTTTGTATATAATTGTTTCAGGAAATATAAGTGGAAAATAGTAACACTGTTAAATTATATATCATATATAATTATTATATGTATCATATACAATATATAATTTAACTTACATACACAAAACTGAGTTAATAAATTATACACTTTAAGATTTACCTATATTAGTCATACTTGTAATTATATATTCAAGTTGATCAAAATTTGGGGAATCTTTGCTCTAAAAATATGGGGCATTGCCTATTATTTGAGTTTTTCTTATAATCAGATTTGTACAGCAAATTATTTACTTGTTTCCTTTTTTATTGTTTCTCTCTGCCCACCACTGTCTGTGTCTGCTCTAGGAGGCAGCAACTTTGTCTCATTCACCATTGTTTCTCCAGCTCCCGGATTGGTGGCTGATCCACACAAGCCTCTAAGAAATATCTATTGAAGGAATAAATTCAGGTAAAAAATAAGCTTCTATTTATTTCCAGAAATAGTGATCTGAGACCGGAAAAAGTGATAACCAAACAATACATGTCTGTTACACAGATGCAGGATTTAAAGAAATCAAACTGTTTTCAAGAAATAATTTAAGTTACAATTGCAGAGACAGCTATACTACTGCTAAATTATTCCAGAAGCTGCCCATAACATTCCCTAGTACTACTCTTACCATTACAGCCTTGGTCAAAGCAAGACAAGCTAGTGAAAAATTTTGCAAGCAATTTTTTACCTGTCTGCATCACTGAAGTTTAGATCTATTATCATTTGTTATGTACAACTTACCAACATTTATGGGCTGAACTGACATTAGAGGTGACTGAAAAATTACTCCACCAGATGTGATTTTCAAATACACAAGAAGAGTGTGGTTGAGTTTGGCTGCTGGCACAGGCACGTGGCATTCACAACATCCACCAACACTGCAGTTGCACTGAGCAATCTGAAAACCGCCTTCCTGGGGAACCAGAGGTGACTCTTCCAACACCTCAGGCCTATATGAGAAAAGGAGGACCAAATATTAACATAGATGTGAAAGTACTGGATATACTTAAAATGTAGGACACAATATCCAAATTGAGGTAAGCTATTCTGGACACCCAGCTTAAAGAGCATCCGGGAAAAAAATGCATTATATCAGAGAAACAAAGGTAAGGGCTGAAGCAGGTTAGGCATTAGAAATAACACAGGCAAGAAGGCAGTGAGGCAACAGTGAAGTACCGAAAGGAAAGAAGCATTGTGATCCTAAAGCCCTACGCCAAGCGAAAATATCTTTCAAGATAAAGATGAAATAAAGGTTTCCTTCAGACACACCAAAACCAAAAGAATTCATCATCAGACCTGCTTTATAAAAATACTAAGGAAATCCTTCAGGTAAAAAGAAAATAAGAGCATATGGAAGTCTGGTTCCACACAAAAAAATGAAATTTAACTAAAAGGGTAAATATTTATTGACTGTTTAAAGCCAAAATAATAACCATGTAGTGTGGGGTTTATAACACAGGTAGAAGTAAAATGTATGACACTAGCGCCCTGCTTGGGGAGGGGGAGGTAAGTAAGTGCGCAGTTGTCATGTTCTTATACTAGGTGTGACGTGGGGTAATATCACTCAGATGTACGGTGTCAGTTAGACTATAATAAGTTAATGATCTGTATCATAAATCCTAAAGCAACCACGAAAGTAATAAAATAAGAAGCTAATAGCTAATAAACTGCAATAATCAAGCCAATGGAGTATTAGTGTAAAGATAGAAAAACAGATTAATGAAACAAAAGAGACCAACACCTATACGGACAACCAATTTTCTACAAAGGCACAAAAGCAGTTCTGTGGGGAAAGGGTAATCTTCTCAATAAATTGTGCTGGAACAATGGGATATCTATATGCCAAAAAAATCTTCAATCCATACCTCACACCAGAGTCAAACATTACTACAAAATGGATCATCAATCCAAATGTAAAACCTAAAGCTACGAAACTTCTAGAAGAAAACGGTAAAAAATTTTTGTGACCTTGGGTTAGGTAAAAATTTCTTAGATGCATGATCCATGAAAGAACAAATTTATAAACTGGACTTTTATAGACATGGAAAATTTTGTTCTTTGAAAGACACTATGAGAGATAACAAAAAGACAAGCCATAGACTGAGAGAATATATTTGCCAATCTTGTATCTGATAAAGGACTTGTATCCAGAAGATATAAAGAACTCTCAAAACTCAATAATAAAACAAACAATCCAATTAAAAATAGGCAAAGATTTCAACAGTCACTTTACCATAGAAGATGTGAGAAGGAAAATAAGTGTGTGAAGAGAAGCCCAACATCATTAGTCATTCAGGAAGTGCAAATAAAACAACAATGAAACACCACTATCCACATATTAGAATGGCTAAAATGAAAAAGATTAATCATACCAAGTATTGACAAGAATGTTGAAGAATTGGAACTCTAATAAACTGCTGGTGGGAATGTAAAATGACACAACTTTGGAAAACAGTTTGGTGATTTCTTAAGCTGCTAAACATACACTTACCATATGATTTTTTAAAAAACTGCAAGTGATAAATATACTAATTAAAAATTCAGTATAGAAAAAGTGTTGCTTTCAAAACTGTGCTAACTAGCCTATACATAAGCATTTAGACATAAACACAACATGAAAGATATGGACCCTAATCTGACTATACACACCCCACAAGTATTAAATGTTTTGAATTATGATAGATTTTCAAGTTTCCTGAGATAGACTTTAGCATTACTTTAGTCCTAAAAAATCAATCGGAAAACAACATTTACAAACCTTTTTATGTGCAAAGCAGTCTACTGGGTGCTGTGTAAGGGATAACATTATTGTAACAAGCACATTAAACTAACACTGAGACCTAATCAAGTTCTTCTGTCTGTTTATGAGCCACAAGAGCACAGACAAGTAAGTTCATCTTTGGGAGCCTCAGTTTCCCGAATCGGTAAAACAGAAAACGCCTGCACCATCTATCTTTACAAGGTTGTTGTGAATATCAGAGACAATTACATGAAAGTGTTTTTGAAAACTTTAAGTACTATACACCCATAAGATATTGTTTTAAATTGGAGGCACTTTCAATTTTACCTAAATCTTTAAACAAAGCCAATGAAATGAGATTTAAAAACAATATCACGCCATGCCTTTTACATGTTTTGCAAATATTAAAATAAAAGCTTTTATTAAAAGAGTATAGAACAAATTGAAAAAATTGTGGTATTTTATGTCAGAAACATGTTTGCAGGGTATCATGCCCTGACTGAAGAACTCCCAAATTTTAAGGCAAAAATAGAACTGAACAGAAAACAGGACACATACTCTCCATTAAAATTTTTTAAAGAATAGGAAATTCTAGTGATATTTTTCTTTTTTAAAAGAAAAAGGAAAGTTAGAATTACATCGTCTTACTTTTGATGGCCTTGCCAATGCCATCCTTTTCTAAATACAACGGAAGTTTGCAGAATAAGGCTGATTGCCAATTAGATTAACTCTGTGGTTTCTCTATTGCTTCATGGTTGTGGGTTCTATTTAATCAATCCCATTTTCACTTTCTTTATAATTTCAATATACACAAAAAGTAAAATGTATAGCATATATTCATAATAATGACTATATATTATATAGTATATATGCTATATTATACATGTTATAGTAATTCATAATTTGTTCTTTTAAAAAAAGCATCTCCATTTAGAAATTTCCCAAACCACCCCAAAAGATAACCCCATTATGAAGCTCTAAGAATAAATCTAAAACTAATTTTCGAATGTTCTAAGCAAAGATCAGGCAACTACAGCACACAAGCCAAATACCCCTGTTTTTGTACAGCCTGTGAGCTAAGAAAGGTTTCTTACATTTTCAAATGGTTTAAAAAAAGAAAAAGAGGAAGAATGTTCCGTGATTCATGGAAATTATATGTAAGTCAAATTTCAGTGTCCATAAACATAGTCATGTTCATTCATTTACGTATTAACCATGGCTACAAGGTTGTGACAGAGACAGTATGGCCGGCAAAGTCTAACATAGTCACCATCTGGCCCTTTAAGAGAAAATGTTTCAATCCCAGCTATAGGCCAAAAACATTTATCCTCCCCACTGGTGGGTACCTGATGGGCAAAGGACACAAAAATAGAGAAACTACATTAAATATATCATCAAATTTCATTATGTAGCATATTGACAATTTACATAATACACCTTGGGGATCACTATCTAATTCAATTTTTCAAACCACCTTATGAGGAAACTAATATCACCTACTTTATAGGACGAAACCGAGGCTCAGAGAGAATGTAGACCTGGAACTCATCTCAAGTCCGTGCGTCCATGCTCAGTGCTCGTTTCATGACACCCAAGATGCTTTATTATCACAAGATAAATGCCACTGCTACCATTGCCATTTTATTTAGGGGATTAATAAAGACATTAGCGGCCACCACTAAAGAATAATTATAATCTGAATCATGCTAATATTTCTATAAGTCAGAATATTAGAGAATTACAGAATTATTTCAAATTGTTTTTTCCTTGAGGAAAACATTAGATATTTCTCATATTTGTGAGAACAGAAGTTATTCCAAGTTTGTGTGGAATCTGGAATATACCAGCCTTGTTACTTGCCAAAGTCAGCTTAAGAACTTCTTTTACCTTCCAAAAGGCTTTCAAAAGTTTAAGTATATATGAACATCAAATGATGCTCTGAAAATTTAATAATTTTAAAGTATAAGGATTAAAATGATGATCAAATTTTTAAAATAGGAAAGAGATTCATTGGCTTAAAATATCCAAAACTTAAGAATTTCTGAAATTCTTGAAAAATTTTTATGCAGTAAAATATTTTATGCCTTACCAACACACACACACACACACACACATACAAATTCAGTGCCACTGTTTATTTAATCTCTCTATATGTCAGTAAACTTTACTTGAAAGTGAAAATAGTAAAAGAAAAATTTGTCGAATAAACTTTAAATTTGGCTTCTTTGCAAATTTTACCATTTGGGCAATTTTTCTATTCAGAAGTTAGATATATAAGTATTTAGTACTGAAATTTCATTTTGGTAGCCACAGTGGTTTATAGAAAGGACATTCTGTCCTCTGACCTTTGGTCAAATTATTTGTTCCCAGAAAATTTTTCTATGAATATATTCAAACTTCTCTAAGCAAAGATCTATGCTAAATTATCATGGAAATAACACCAAATAGGTGCCATCCAAGTTCCTGACTATGACATAAACTGAGAGCAAAATACAGTGGACGAACCAATAAAGAGGAATTGGAAAATTTAGTATTAGCTTTCTATATCATTTAATCAAGTCACTTATTTTAAATCTCAGAATGGGTAATCTATACAAATATTACCAAAAAAATCTACTTTGGCAATCCCAAATAATTTCCAAGCCCAGGTCAGTGTCCCGGACCAGTCTCATCGTAAGAATCACCCGGAGCCTTGTTGAAAATAGATTCCTGGACCCTCCATGGAGAAGCCGGCAGGTCTGGGGCTAAGGAATCTGTTTTTAACGTGTCATAGATCAGCAGTTCTCAAAGTGTGGTCCCCAAACCAGGAGCTCCATCCCAGAGCTTGTGAATTGGGTCCAGGTAAGAAGTACTGACCTAGATAAATCTCATCAAGGTGACAAGTTTCAGACGCATTTTGTAAAACACAAAGTATTCTTCAGATGTGAGATATTACCAAACAAATAGAAAATCAAGGATGGGAGGGAGGAAGAAAAAAGGAATGCAAACATAAACAAACAGATTTTAATGTATATCAAGTTAAGAATATAAATATAACGGGGCTGGGGCAGAGCGGAAGGGGAAAGTAACTCTGCAACATAGTATTTTACCACGTGACCTCTAGCTGGCAAAGACAAATGAGTCTAAACAAATACTGTACTCTAGTTAGCATGTTTGCTTCTCACAGTGATGTAGGTTAGAATTCCAAAACTACGTTACATATATTCTAGGACTGAGCAAATAGGTAATATATTGTAGGAAAGGGAAGCCAGGTTTTTTCTCACTGTTGGAGAAAGCGGTTCCAAAAAAAAAAGGAAGGCTAGAATGGATCCTGTGGTTTTAGACTAGAACGAGAGATATTAGCATGAACACATGCTTTTAATATATGTATATACACAGAGAGAGAGAAATACAGATTTGTTTATATCATACATACACATCGTGTGTGTATGGTGTGTATACATACATATAACTAGCTCTGTAGATGAGAGGGCCTAGAAACAATGCCACCCAAGTGACAAAGAGCATGTAGCCCCCAGATACCGCTTTGTAAATACCATTCTCCAATGAAGAGGAATTAGGGCTCCTTGGAGAAATGGCTGATTCCAGTGGGATAGCAGGAAAAGTATAAAATCAACCTGAAATATCTTGTAGTGCCAGAAAGTAAGGAAGTCCTCAAAAAAATGTTGGGGACACATTAAAAGGACAGAGGGGCAGCTTGAATAAGTCCCCACTGGCCAAATAAGGGACAATTTGAGCAGCAAAATAAATAATGATAGTAACTGATTACAGCCCGTGAAATAAAACAAGAATCCATGAGCCCATCCTGATAGGAAGGAAGGAAAGTGTACTTCTCACAGAGCTCAGCACCGTGTCCTGTGCACACTAAATATTTCTTGATTGAATAACACCATTCCTAAAACGTCCCAGTTCACATTATTTTTCTTCTCTAAAAATTTCAGTTGGTTCTTTTTTCTATCATCAATTTCTTTCCTCATTATATTTATGTTTTCCTTTATATCCTCAAGCATGTGGAGCATATTAATAATAGCTGTCCTTGTCTGCTAATTCTATCATCTCTGTCATTTCTGGGGCTGTTTCTATTGACCGATTTTCCTTTTTCTCCTGGTTATGTTACATTTTCCTGTTCTTTCATATATCTAGTATTTTTAACTGGATGCCAGACATTGTGAACATTACATTTTTGAGTGTTAGACTGTATTATTTTCTTCAAAGAATGTTGGCTTTTGTTCTGGCAGTCAGTTCAGTTACTTGGGTACCAGTTTGAACCTTTCAAGTTTCTTTCAAGCTCTTTTGGGGATAGTATAGAGTAGCCTTGACTCTAGGGCTAATTCGGCCCCACTTTTAAAGTGTGACTATTATGGGGTTTCTACTGAATGTCATTGATATTCTTCAAGGTCTCTCCAATCTACTTGGTGAAACTTGACTAATTCCTGGCCCCGTGTGACTTCTGGGAATTGTTTAGCTTACAGCTCCTGGTAATTGTTCTCTTCCTAGAAGTCCTTACCCGACATCATGGCCAGATGGGTATTCAACCAAAGAGTGAAGGGCACCCCACTGCTAATTTCTGTGTACTTCCCTGCTTCCAGTACTCTGCCCCATGGATTCGAGTCCCCTTACACTCTGAATGCCTATCTCTATCTCCTCAGTTCAGCAACATTTCTGGGCTCTGTCTGAGTTCCCCAGCCTTGTGCCAGTGTTCTGGAAATTGCCTCAAGTCCAGAAGGCGTGAGTTATAAAGGATTCACTTTGTTTTCTTCTCTCAGGAATCACAGTTCTGTTCTGCCTTTGTCCAGTATCTGAAAATAGATGTTTCCCACATTTTATCAAGTTTTCTAGTTGTTCATGACAGAAGAGTAATCCCAGACCCTATTATTCCCTCATGGCCAGAAGCTACCTTTTGGGGGGGGTGGGGGCGGCTGGGGAAAATTTGCCATGAGCTAACATCTGTTGCCAATCCTCCTCTTTTTTTTTAATGTGAGCCACTGCCACAGCAAGGCCAGTGACAGACAAGTTGTGTGGTTCCACACCTGGGAACCAAACCCAGGCCACCAAAGCAGAGCGCACCAAATTAACCACTAGACCATCGGGGCTGGCCGCCAGAAGCCACTTTTGTTGCCTTTTTATATTGACTTCTGAAGATATGATGTAGTCACACAGTTCAAAACTTGGTTTTCTTTAAAGGGAGTGGTAAAATGGGGTGGTGAATACTTCTTATGTATGTTTCCACAAGTCCCTGTGTTTATGACACCACAGCATTTTCAACTTTGTTGTTATGTTCTTTGTCTTTACTCAGAGCTACAGGAGGGCAGGGACTGAGTCTGAGCTGTTTAACGTTGTTCCCCACACTATGCCTGGTGTACACAGTAGGCACCTAATTAAGGAAGAAGAGGATTTCCTTTCTAGGTCTAAGATAAAAATGTCTAGAACAGTTCCAAAATATCACATTTCTATGGTATCTCTCCTTTGGATTCTCTGATAAACACTAATACCTGAGCTCAAATAATGCTTTCCCTTAAGGGATGTATTTATAGGGCTCTAAGTCCCTTATAAATACTAAGTTTTAGTTCCTTTTAAAAAATATACTTATTTACACATGGAAGCATTTGAAAGATTTCTCTCGTGAGTTCTCTAATGTTCAGAGAAGGCGATTTTGATTAAAAACTTTTCTATTGTAACCACCATTATGGATTTTCTCTTCCATGGAGGTCTCATTTGTTATACCGGCCAGCTCTTCCTCCTGATCTGAAGAGTCTTATTTAAATTATTTGGAGATATATTGCCCAGAGATGCATATGAAAACAGAATTCAAGGCAGAAATAGCATGTGACAATTGGTAAAATGGACATATTAACCAAATCAGAAAAAAGAACAATTAATGTGGCAGAAAAAAGGCAAGAGAACGTTTCTCAAATTGTATGCAATTATGACAAGTTTTAGAAACCTAAGTTCAAAATAAAGTCAAGTCAAAAAAATCTGCTAAATTCATCATGTGAGCAAGTCGAAAATCTAGTTAATTTATCATAATTTTCTCATTTTTCTGAGTCCTATCAGTCAGATGAATAGAACAATGACTACTTAGCTGACTAAACTGAACTTAAAATTCTCAGCTGCATCTAAGTTACCATGCCACTTTATAACGCTTTGATATATTCATATATATCTTTTTTCAGAAAATGCAGGGCTCAAGACATAAATACAGTCTATCTGTAACAAAATTTAAATCCTTACATGTGGTTACAGAGCTTTTAAACTGAGCACACTGCTCTCACCCACTAATAATATTTGAAATTCTCTCAAAGGCACCCAGTAAGTTTTTGATCACCATCCAAAGTATTTACGTCATCACAGGAACGTGCTACTTTGCAAAGGAATTCTGACCTCTGAACTAAAATCCATTTTGCTCAAAAAGCAGGAACTTTTCTCCCCCAAACCTCAAATATATCTTCATCCCCCACGGGATGATTCTTTTCTTCTCTCAACACTAAGAAGTTGAGAGGAGCCTCCTCCACTTAAGACCAACCCTCCATCTGCGCTCTTTTTCTGGAACTTGCCTGTCCAACTCACTCGCCATCATACATCTCCAGCGGGTCCCCTTCCACCATATCTTCAACTTTTTTCTCCCTGCTGGGTCATTTTCTATAGACTAGAAACAAGCTCATTCTCTACCATCCTTTCAATGCCCACCCTGGCCACACACTACCAGTTATGCCTCCAGCTTCCCCACTTTCCAACCTCAGCCAGGCTTCCTGGGCCTCTAAGGATTCATAGCTCAGTCATTTCTGTTGTGGACATTGGTCTAGGTTTCTTGGCTGCCCAGCATCGGACTGGAAAATCTACCATTTTTTGAGGGTGAAACACTGGCAGCGAGGGCACGTTCTCACAAGTTACATACTCCCATTGAGGACACTGGCCCTAATGAAAATTGCACAAAGAAGCAGGGCCTTCTAGATTCATCAGTGGTAACATCTAGTGACTAGCATTGGAGGCGGAAACGATGACCATAGGAACACTCAATGTCCAGATTGACAGCTGCGGGATCCTAGCTGGGCTACTGCTGTGGGGTGACTTTAAGAATTAGTCTAGTGGTCTAACATAAGTTATAAATATTAACTACAGCCTGATAATCACTACAAAAATGAGGATGGTGGCAGCCATGCATATTTTCTTCCTTATAGCGTGCTTGTGTATGAGTGTGTATATATATTTGTATATATTAACTAATCTCTTCTCAATCTCCTCTTTCCCCTTATTATTTCACATAAGGATTCTCAGTGGTGTTAACTTTACAATTTAGTATTTAGCTTACAGAATATTCATTCATGTGGGACTGTGATTGAATGAGGAGCAATTATTATTGCCCCGAGATCGAAACTATAAATGTTGCCCAGAAATGGATACAATGACAACTGGGACATAGCATCCCCCCATTTTGGGGAGAGGATAAGAGTATTTCCTTTTGTTCAAAGTGTAGTTGCATCTTATTAGGTGGAAGCATGAAGTTATAGGGAAGTAGTAGTTCAAGCAAGTGTAGAAAGGTGTGTGTGGATGCTAAACAGCCAACAGGGTGAATTATCCTGGTGATTAAGCTCTTGTCTCTTAGCTCCAAACCCACCCTTCTATACTCTGTTCCCATGCTGGGGCTGGAACTCTGCAAACCTCCTGGATTCTTGCTAAATTCTGCCTATTGGGGGCACTAGAAGGCTGATGGAGGAACAAGGCACTTGATCCTTCCTGCTTTGCTTCCCATTCTTGAAAGCATCTCCCCAGCAAAGGCTCTTCTCCTGGGTAGCTGCAGTTGGTTCCAGTAACTGGGTTTTTTTCTCCCACATTCTTTCTCAGAACCAACCACAGTATATCCTCCTCAGAGTTCACACTTCCCTCAGAACATATGCCTATCCTATCAGCAGTCTTGCTACCTGAATCAACAGGAAGAGAAAAGAGGAAACCTAATGGAGAAGAACATTGTATTAAAAACTATATATAAACTGCCTCCTAGAAATGTACACAGATATAAAAGGAGATGTAGGGTAGGAGAGGTCTCATAACCCACTTCCGTACGTGGAAGCTCTTGCATTTAAAAAAAAAATTGTGTTGTAGAAATGTCCAAATTAATTTATTTGATACTTACAGAACATATAAAAGATGGACCTTAAGGTCATAATTCTTGAAAGGATTCTTAAATAATGACTCCATATAACAGATGAATAATTTCAAGTCCTCTTTCATCCAGCACTGTATGTTCCAGTTTGCACCTGAATTAAAAATAAACTACATTAAATCTGAAAAACATTCTGAACAAGTCAGTGAAAGAGAAGAGCTAAATTAAATTTACCAGTGTTCGGATACAACGTCCACGCCCATTCTGAGAGAGAAAGGACAGGCTCTAACTAGCGGTGCGTGTCTGCCCATGTCATTCAGGCCCTTTGGCCTTCAGTTTCCTTTTTCGTAAAGTAAGAGAATTAAATTCAATTCTTGCTTCTAAAACTTTTTTTTAACCCTGAACCACTTAAGGGACAAAAGACCCCAAAATTTATTGGCTCAGTTCATTCTCATTCTCCAAGAGAAAAGAGACATTAAATATCAAAGTACAAGCAAATTTGGAGCAGTATTTACGTGTCTGCTTCACCAATAAAAGCATGCTGATTCACATCTGGACTACGGTACACATCTTAAATTCCTGATATTGTAATATTACAGGCCCCAAATACAACTGATGCAAATATATTTCACTGCACACTGAAAAACTCACCTGATAACGAAAGATTAAACTATTAGTGATTTGTAATGTACAAAGCAAGAATAGAAACAATTGAAAATCATGACTAACTTAAAACAATGCTAAAACTATCCTGAGGCGACATTAACATTTCCCCAAACCTGTAGGATTACCGGCTGGGAGAGACTTTGAAACGCTGTTGAGCCCTATGAAATAAACAGCCTAGTTGGCATAATAATAAATGGAAATCCTCATTAATCACCACTTACCTTTAGTTACAAAAACTTAAACTCACTTAGAAGTAACTGATTATGAGCCTTTATTTAGATGTAAAATTAAAATCTACAGCACCATAATCACTCCTTTTGATAACTGAAGAAAGTGCAGACATTTTTTCATCATTTTAAGGCTCATCACAAGGACCTTGACTTCTTAAGTTCACTCTTAGGATATTTAATAATCACTGGAATGGCTAAATTCTCTTACAAATTAAAAAAATACTTCATTTAAAATTAAATTAAATGCCTATAAACTCAATTGAAGACATCAGAAGTTATCACTACTAACTTGTTTTAAATCTCTGATTTTATTGCATATGTATGCCTTATCCTTACTCCTAAACTGATTTCAACAAGCTGGAGTGTTTCTTTCATCAAATCAATGGTGCTGAACCAGGGGCGATTTGGCCCTGCAGAGGACGTCCGGCCAAGTCTGGAGATATGTTTTGATTTTACAACTGGGGAGCTAGCGCTGCTGGCATCTAGTGAGTAGAAACTAAGGATGCTGCTAAACATCCTACAAGGCACAGAACAGCCCCCCAAAGCAAGAATTATCCGGCCCAAAGTGCCAATAGTGTTGCGGCTGAGAAATTCTGATTAACCTACACAAGGGTGCGATACTTACGTACACCTTTATTTTCATACTGTAGGTCTCTTTATATTGCCCAGTCAACCAACTCTGCTCTATTTAGCTTTTCCAGTAAGCTTGGAAATAATTTTGTTGTTTAGATTTCCAGACGCAGAATTAATAACCACACTAGCTATGTTCAGTATGCATTATACTTAAACAACAAAAACCCCTTGATTTAAAATATATATTGGTTACAGGGAGATTCCTTGCTTGAACAAATATCATTATTCATAAATGCTTTAAAATTTAACTAATTCAACAGTATTATTAGCCATTTGGTATTTTATCTAACAAAAATAAGGTGTGCTTTTTCTATTTTAAAGCAAATTTAGAAGACTATAAGAAATGTATTTAGGGGCCGGCCCCGTGGTGTAGCGGTTAAGTGCGTGCACTCCGCTGCTGGCGGCCCGGGTTCGGATCCTGGGCACGCACTGACACACCGCTTGTCAGGCCACACTGTGGCGGCGTCCCACATAAAGTGGAGGAAGATGGGCACAACTGTTAGCCCAGGGACAGTCTTCCTCAGCAAAAAGAAGAGGATTGGCATGGATGTTAGCTCAGGGCCAGTCTTCCTCAGCAAAAAGAGGAGGATTGGCATGGATGTTAGCTCAGGGCTGACCTTCCTCACACACACACACAAAAGAAATGTATTTATAGGTAAAAAGAGTCCCTTCATTACCTTTTTATTTTATTTTTATGGGATACAAAATAATTCTGGGCTTATTCATTGGGTCATATGATGAATCCTAATTTTATTACTAATATAAAATGATGATATGTGTCAAGAATCTTATCTATAAGACGTCTATTTCATACAGGTTTCAGAGAATGAAACATTTTGTTCAATACAGTTAAACAACGGCTAATGCTTGGAACATTCAAATACTTACCTATTTGTTGAAAAACTAAAGAATTTCCTGTTGAAACAAATGCCTTCCCTTCGGTGTTATCTGCAGGTACAGAGCAGTTTTTATCTTCCTCACTCCAAAAGCAACAGTGGAAAGTTGTTTTTGATGATAAATTGGCAAAGTAGGTACCACTTGAATTAAATTTAGCTTCAACTGCTTCATAATGTCCATTCAAATCCGAAGTGTTCTTTGAGATTCCAGCAGGCAAGAGGAAGTCAAAGGTTGTATTTGGTGGCATGCAAGACAACTTAAATCTCCAGGGAGTAATTGGATATGCCAAGTTAAAGGCACTTATCACATAAATAAATTCTGTACAGACATTAAAAAGACACAAAGAAAAACAATTAATCATTTTGAGTAGGCACAAATAGGAAGTATCTAATATTAAACATGTAGTGCTCAATAGTAATAATTTAACTTTCTAAGCACTCAATCTCCCCCCGTACAATGTGTGACACTTGAGAGGGTGCACTTATTTATAGAGATAACTTGACTCTCTAGCACTCCTTTTTGGAAATTCATGCTTCATTTCCCTCATTAATCTAACATCTTATATTTGTATTTTAATGAAAGAAAATTATAGCTAAATATTTCAATTTCCTTTTCTAAAAAAATTATTCTAATTAACTTACAGCATAAATTGGAAATATCTGGATGTGCAAATATCAAACAAATATTAAAGTGCTGTTTTAATATTTCTTAAAGACAATAACACCAAAATGTTAACACTACTTTTACTGAGTGTTTTTAGAAAGGGTTTTTCTTCAACATCAGGACAGCTGGATGATCTCCTGACTCTGCCCAGGATCCTTCAGGAATATGACATCATTTAAACATGCCCTTAGTGCACTTTCCAAGAACTGATGCACAGTGACAGACTTCCTCCAGGAATCTTCCACTGCTAACTAAAAACAACTATCACTTTTTAGGCATACAAAAATTATGAACAATGATATAATCCTGTATCCCTAAAATCCTCAAAAGTGATACTTGTTTTTAATTGTTTGAAAATAAAATAATAATTAATTCTTCATAATTCTTTCTTTTACCGGTTACCCTAATAATCCAACAGCTGTGTTGCCTCATATACAAACTAATGCAGAATGAGAATTATGAGAATTTTGCTTTTTCTATTTTAAAGCAAATTTAGAAGGTGGGATGTGTACAGAATGAGAATTTTGAAGGATTAGGGTAAATGTAAAAATACAAGAAAATAGAAATTTTAAAAACTCAATTTGCAAAAGTAGTTTTAAATTGCAAAAGTAATACACGTAAATATATTCAAACAATACACAAGTAATGACTGGCAACAGTTTGGTTTCTAAACCTTTCTATAAATAGAAATTAATATAAATAGGTATCAGGGGCAAAAATTAAGGCAAAAATGATTAACATGACTAATATTATTTTGCCCACCCTGATAACAGTTAGGTATCATAAGGTCACCAAAGGGGAATCCTCATTGCATTGCATTCCTTTGGATTTCAATCTTTCTAACACGTTTCTGAAATCAGAACATCTCAATAAAAAGAGAACAGGTTATTTCTTTGGTTTTACAAAACCATGAATATGTAGTGGTATTAATTAAAAGCATTATTATATTTTCTAGCTGCACATGGAAGATTCAATTGGCTGAACTGAAATTAGCCTAAAAGCCTCAAAAAAGTATTTGAAATTTAAAACATAATAATGAATGTCATAGACACAGCAACTACTGAATCAGTTCAAAGAGGTTCTATTTTGTTTACATGTTTCCTTAGCAAATGATATTTCTTTCTCTCAAGTGAGCCCTAAACAGCAAGGAATCCAGAATTTTTTCTGAATGCATAAGTTATCGTGGTAACAATATCCCAGGACCTCTTCTGATTCACAAAACTTGATCAAACCACAAACCTTTTGGAAAGCCAATGAGAAACATTAGAGTGGAGCCTAATAAAAATTAGAGAACATAAGAGAGAAAGGGTATGTTATTCCTCTTTGATAGTCCCTTGTGGCATAGTTTTTTTGAAATCTGTAGCAGTGGAGTTATCCTGGATATCTTCTGTAAATATATAGATGGCTACAAGGAGAAAGAACATTATGGACCACAGGGAAGACTTGTAGAGAGGTTCACAAGAGCACCTTTAGATCGGAGTGGCCAAGGAGATGCTCAGAACTGGCTGACACACAGGTAATTGTGGCCAGAAAAAAGGGGTGTTGTTAAAGATAGCCTGAGTTTAATCTCAAAAACTTGGAACACAATCTAAATTAGATGATTTGAGTTTTTTACAAAAATCAGAATATCTCTAGAACGTGTAAGAAACAAGTGAAAGTAGTACATACAAGTCATCGGCACTGTGTGACTAATGTCAAACAGAAGCCTGCTGTGGTTCACAGAAACTAAAAACACAAGACACTAGAAGAATATCTGTAAGCTCTCTCTCGAGGATATTCCTGCAATGGGTAGGAGGAAGGCTAGTATACACTTAATTTCTGGAAGCATTCTTCTGGTGGTAGTCAAGGTGGAAATTTCGAAGGTACCCAACACCATCCCTTGATAACACTCCCTTATAACATTATACTTGTCATTGTTTACCAGAGTTACAATGGGGAATAACATTTAAAATGGCATTTCCCTTCCATTTGAGAATAAACCCGTCATTCTGTGTCATAGCTATTTATTTACCACTAGTAAATTGCTCCTTGATACAGAAAATTAAAATTTTGACTGTCACCTGAAATATATATATATTTGTAATTTAACAATGCTACATTTGCTAAATAAAATCAAAATATTTAAATGTCATCTTGTTTCTAAGCATGTATAAGGGTATTACCGTGTATATATAAATTTTCTGTACTGTATAAGAAAACAAAGTTGAAAAGCAAATGATAGGAAAGGAGAAAAAAATCTGCAAAACATAATAAATTGTTAGGCCTTGTGATGGTTAATGTTATGTGTCAACTTGACAAGGCCACTGGGTGCTCAGACATTTGTTCAAACATTATTCTGGGTGTGTCTGTGAGCCTGTTTCTGGATGAGATTAACATTTGAATCAGTAGACCAAGTAAAGAAGGTTGTTCCCTTTAGTGTGGGTGGGCCTCATCCAGTCAACTGAAGACCTGAATAGAACAAGAAGGCTGAGTAAGAGGGAACTTCTGTTGCTCGACTGACTTGAGCTGGAACATCAGTCATTTCTTTCTTTTGGTTCAAACTAAAACATTGGCTCTTCTTGGGTCTCAAATCTGCCAGTGTTGGGATTAGAATTTACACCATCAGCTCTCCTGGGTCTCCAGCGTGCCAACTACAGATCTTGGGACTTCTCAGCCTCCACGATCCTATGAGCCAATTCGTTATAATAAATCTCATTCTAGATATATAGAAATCCTATTGGTTCTGTTTTTCTGGAGAACTCTAACTAATACAAGGCTAAATATCTATACATTTTAGAAATTTCTAAAAATCAACTAAGACCAATAAAATCCAACAACAAAATGGTCAAAGTATATGAATTAGAAAATCACATAAGAAATACAAATGGTCAATAAACAGAGCTCAACCTCACAAATAAACAAATAAAATTGAAATGAGATGCCATATTTTGCTTATGTGACAGGAAAAAAGGTAAAATCTTTCGCAGAAATGCAACAGCATAGCATTCATATACTCGTGTTGGGACCGCAAACGGTACAAAGCTTTGTGGAGAAGATCTCACAGTATCCAACAGTGGAATAGCTGGATCATATGGTAGTTCTATCGTTGATTTTTTGAGGAATCTCCATACTGTTTTCCATAGTGGCTGCACCAGTTTGCACTCCCACCAGCAGTGTATGAGAGTTCCCTTCTCTCCACATCCTCTCCAACACATATTGTTTCCTGTCTTGTTAATTATAGCCATTCTGACGGGCGTGAGGTGATATCTCATTGTAGTTTTGATTTGCATTTCCCTGATAATTAGTGATTTTGAACATCTTTTCATGTGTCTGTTGGCCATCTGTATTTCTTCTTTGGAGAAATGTCTGTTCAGGTCTTTTGCCCATTTTTTAATTGGGTTGTTAGCTTTTTTGTTGTTGAGATGCATGAGTTCTTTATATATTTTGGAGATTAAGCCCTTATCAGATGTATGGTACATGTGTGTGGTGATGGGTTGTAATTAGTATTTTGGTGGTGAACATGATGTAATCTATGCAGAAATAGAAGTACAATGATGTACACCTGAAATTTTTACAATGTTATAAACCAATGTTACTGCAATAAACAAAAAATTTAAAAAAAAAAAAAAGATCTCACAGTATCTATCAAATTCAAAAATGTGCATTCTACTCAACATAGAAATTCCTCTTTAGGAATTAATCTACAGAAATATTCTCCCAAATATACAAAGATATATGAACATAAATTTCAATGCAGCATTATTTGTCACAGAATAAGAAATGTCTGTCAATGGGGCATTGGTCAAATAAATTAATAATTTAAGGTGCATTCATACAGTTCATTTTTGTGCAACTATTAAATAAGTACAAGAGTAAATATTGACAGGAAAAGTTGTCATGATAAATTAAAAAGCTGCTAAGTGGAAAAAGAAAAATGCAGAACCATATGTATAGACCAACTCTATTTTTGCAGCTATAGATGTGAATGTTGTGTGTGTGTGTGTGTGTGTATGTGTGTGTGTCTGAGTGAGATACTGGCTCAACACAAGGTTGACATAAGGGAGGCCATATTGTAGAAAAGAAACCGTATTGTAACTTTGAATGACCTCCAATTAACTAACTCAGACACGCTCTGTAGACTTTATGGCCCCTCCCAGCTGCTATAAGTTGATAACTTGGTTCTTTTGAGTTTCTTAGGAATTTGATGACCTCTGGGCAGAGAGTCTACACTGATAGCCATCATCAATGACAACTGAAAGATCAGTGTATAGGGTGTTGCTCTGGTCTCTGATGCATATCCAGTAAGGCAAAAGACTATCAGGAACTAAGATCAGATGTCTGCCCCCACCTGGAGATCAGATGGATGCCCCCACCCAGAGACCAGATGCCTCCCACACCCAGAGACCTGCCCCCTATATAACTGGCCTGTAGTCTTTGTTCTGTAAGATGGTTCTTTTGGACATTGTTCAGCCATCTTCCCGCTTGCTAGCAAGCTGTAATAAAAAGTCCTCTATCTCCCACCTCCTTGCCTTTTGACTATTGGCATGTCTTGCGGCAGGCAGACAACCCCTACCCCTCCTTGGGCAGTAACATGTGTGTGTTATGGTTCTGGAAGGACACACATCAGGTTGTTTACAGGAAGTTGGGAATGGTTTTCATTTTCACACTTACATTTTTGTTCGGTTTGCATTTTTAATCATGAGCCTGAGAATTCCTAATTGGAAATGGGAAATTCTGCAGCCAGTAAAGGAAACAGCATCTCTAAGGGCAAAATCTCTACCTTATATACGGACATTTAAAAAGCAAGTAACTTACCCCAATGTAACAAAGCCACACAGAATTTTTGACAAATCATCTTACTTCAGAGAAGTACACCTGAAAAACAGTAAATCTAAAACACATACACAAACGCACACATAAAACTGACATATATCCAAGCTGTCTGTGGAAGATATAAAAGGGAAAGTATTATAAATAAGTCTTTAAATTTTATTCCTCTATAATACTCTGGATCAATATCAGAGAAATGTCTCACATGAAAGTATAGCTACAAGTTATAGATTTATTCCTGTGCACATGCTATCCTACATAGTTAAAATATAAGCCATATATTCATATATGCCATAATCAAAAAATTTTCAAAGTTCCTTTATGCCATGACAAGTATCACAGGATAAGACTGAATTTTTAACTAAACAAAAGTGTTTTCATGTTGATTAAATATGTACAGCCAATCTAACATTATTAATATCATACTCTTCATTTTTTTCATGCTCAGTTCTTAAATTTCTTATTTTCTAAAGCCTTTATCTTTACTATGGTACTACAAAGCCAAAGGGTTATAGCATAGGGAATGATTGCATATTTATTTCCAATAAAGAGGAGGAAATTTTCAAATACGCTTTTGCAAACCCACTGTTCATCTGCAGATGAGGTAATATTCACAGTGGAGCATTACCAGAGTAATTCAAAGAAAGTCTGATGGCTTAAAATATCCAAATGATAGGGATGACTATAGGGAAAGAGGCAAGCTTTCCCACGAATTCTACTCAATTCAAAATACATCATCAATAAGATTATTTGTACTCAAGTGTCTGTCATGAATTAGAATGGTAATATAATTTTAATATATTGGGTTTAGCTTTGTAATGAAACACTAAAGGCTTTTGACGTTCCCTTCTTCTTTGTTATCTCAAATTGGGGATTCAGTTCACTACACAAAAGGTAATCTGAAGTAAAAAGCCCTGAACTAGGTGAAAGGAGTCTTGAGTGCCAGCCTAGGCTCTTTGATCAATCAGCTCTAGGTCTTGAGACACCAACACTCTGGACCTCAGGTTCCTCATCTACAAATCAGACTGATGAATGATCTCTATAATCCCTTCCAGAGCTGCCTATGATTCTGAGAGATTTCATTTTAAAATAGAAATCATAGCTTTACCACAAAGAATATTATAAAATATTAAGTGAGAAACATGTCTTATAAGTCATATCTGAGAATTGGTACCGTGTGGTGAAATGTTTAATTCACAACTTACATGAATCTTAGGAAGAAAATGGATGAGGACAAATATTTTGTAGTATGGTAAACTTGTTTGTCAGACTATCAGTTTTTCATCAGAGTGTTGGTTCTTTACACATTGACATCACAGTTTCTTTAAGATTTCTAGCAATTGGTTCAGTTTGGAATCCTCATTATCTAATCATATTAAAAGTGTGCAAATTCCTCCCAGTTTTCTATGCTACCTGTTTCTGAGACAACATTTTCTCATAAAATAAACCCAAGGGCAAGTTTCATAATCAGGATGTGTCACAGATACACCACGTCACTAGACTAAGCATCTCGGCTGAACTGACTAGTGACTAGTAATTCAGGGAACAATTGATTGACTCATTTTTAACTCAGTGGATCCACTGAGTTAAGTGACCAAACAGATCAGCTGTTTTCCCTTACATAAGATAACCATTCTTTTATTTAATGTTCCATGCAAACCACAAACTATTCTTCTGGTTTGAATTCTTATAGTCAGGTTTTGCTCTTATATACCAGAGAAACAATCCCAGGTGTGAAAAGGACACAGATGCAGCCTTGAAGAGGCCGTGAAAGGCAGTACCTGATAGACTCAAAGAGAGAAATGTTTACATGCATCCTAAATTATACCAGAAAGGAACAAAATGAGGCTTACAAAAACACAAATAATACAGAAAAAACTGACAGAGATTTTAAAACTGTGAAAAAAAAATCAAGCAAAGGGAAAACCAATTACCATTTACCCAACCAAAACCAAAAACCAATTACCACCAAAATAAGTCTGATATACAAAGCACCATTAATTTGAATTTACTTCCTAAGAATGAGCTATTAATTTCCCTTAAGTTTTTTTAAGGTCAAACTGTTCAATTATAAATTCACAGAGTACCTAAAATAAAATGAAACCAAGAGCTTAGGGGAAAAGTACAAAGATTCCTAACACTGAAAACAGAAAGAAATTTCACCTGACTTCCTTCATAGGATAACAAGTAACCTCCTCATAGACATCCCAATGTACCAGTCTTTCCTGGGAATTTCAAAACTCAATAATTTCTCACCCCCACCCCGCACCACTGCCAATACCTGGTTCTAAGCCACATCATCTCCTCCCTGGACGATCAGAGAGCCTCCTAACTGGTCTGCCGGCTGCTGCCTTTCCTCCCCATTCAGTCGATTCTCCATGCAGCAGCCAGAGTGGTCTTGTTAACACACAGGTTAGATCGCGGCTCTCTTTCCCCAGACCCTGCAGTACTCCCCTTTTCACTCGGAGGAAAAGTCCAAGTCTTGTGCAAAACCACAAGTCCTCGGTCTCTATTGCCTCTCTGACCTTATCAACCACTTCTCTCCCCTTTGCTCAAGCCACCTTCTCAGGGGTGCCTTCCCCGACCAGCCTACCTACAATTTCAACACCTTCCCCACCCAGGCATGTCATATCTGCTGTTCTGCTTAATTTTTTTCTCCTTATTACTTAACACTATCTAACATGAATATGATTTGTTATTTTTCCTGTTTATTTTCTAACTCTCTCCACTAGAATATAAACTCCACTAGACCAAAGGATGTTTTGACTGTTTCCTTTTCATCATTATATCCTTCACACATAGAAGCCTGCCTCCCATATAGAAGGTGCTCCATATATATTAACTGAATGAATGAATGAATGAATGGCAAGATATGACTCTTTCTTGAAATAACTCTTCAAAACTGGCTGGTAGTATCACACCAGGACAAAATTAAATAAAAGCAATCTTTAAAAGAGGCATTCTAATATCATCCAAATACAGCTCTTTGAGAATCTGTCTAAATACCAGAGAGAATTTAAGAACAGTGATTCTTAACTATTTTCGGATGACGAACCTTGAGAATTTCGTGAGAGCAATGTACCAACTGCCAGGAAGAGGCATATACACCTAAAATTCAGGCTATAATTTCAAGGGGTTAATAAATTCTCTAAAATTTATCCAAAGCTTCCAGATTAAGAATTCCTAATGTAGACAAATAAATGGAGTGCACGTTCCTCAGGCAATCCTCTATAATTGTAGCTCCATGAGTTGAGCCATCAATATACACCAAGCTATGAGGAGTTTGAGATAATATTGCCTAACATCCCCCTGGAACGTAATCATTCTATGTTGATAGTTAAAAGGAGCAATGTGTCTTGTTCAAAATATTTGAAGAAATCTTTATAAAGTATACAAAGATTCACTGTAGTCTGATCTAAATGATATATCCATGATATTTGGATGTACAGGTAATAATTCAATTTGCATAATACACCAAATGCAGTAAGCATATTAAACATATCACTAATTCTTCAGTTATTACTATAAACTTTAAACAAAAGGAAAAATCAAGATCTATCTTCTACTGAATTATATTATCAGACTGTTTAACTTCTATCATAGAGAATTCCTTGTGTTATTTTTATGTATTGAATTCTACTTAAATAGACACAGAATAGTCTCGATTAGTGTTTGAATGAGTGATTGGGCAGAAAGGAAATTATGTACAACTTGTTCCAATGATCTCAAAAAGTCTCTAGATTTGTAGAAAAGTTTATGAGTAAGAAAAGCAATTCTGACAATTCTGTTGCTTTGATGAACAAACTCAACAAGCTCCATCTGCCACTAATTTTTGCTTCTACTTTCTGCTAGAGAAACACCCATCTTTCACTTAAATAACAACATTCAAGCATTTTATTTAAATATAAATGGAAGACACTATTTCTTCAAGTGTTAAAAATTTAACAAAATAAATATAGCCTGGTCCATTTCTAGCAACCTCCTCATTTTAAGCATGCTTACTTTCACTTCTTCACTTAGGATAGAAATTGGTCACGTTATTCCCATCAACTAACTGTTACAGACTTCAATTATTTTTAAAATTTAAAAAAATCTTCTTCTGTCATCCTGAATAAGCATTTGTCCCTCTGAAAACATAATTTCAAGTAATTTAATTCATGATATTCTAATTGTGTGCTCTTGTTGCAAATTAATTCCTTGAAAATGCAGAGGGATAAACTATGATTTATAGATCCAGGTACCAAAGTCAACACAGTTGAGTCAGAATAAGCATCTTACCTATGTACAAAGTAACTTAAAATCTGTACATAAATCAACTCCTTTAAAGATTAACTGAATATTTGGTAAAATGTAAGTTACGATACAAGGTGTTATAAATATAAAAACCAAGAAGAAATCATCATTTACTTTGAGAAGTAACATAATTTTACGATTTTTTGACATATCAAAGTACTACAATGTAAATATGAATAAAGTACCATAGGACTTCAGATTCATCCCAAAATACTGAATGCTAGAAGACAATCCAGTAATGCCTGATGGAATACTATTTACAGTTTAAAATTCTATTAGCACTCAAGCAAGTATCAGAGCAAAACAAAAATATTTCAATACACAATGACTTAGAAAATTTACATCCTAGGAATCTCTTTCTCAGAAGTAACTTTACAAGATAATGCAGCAAAATGAGGAGTAAACCAAGAAAGAGGGATTCAGGATTCAGGAAAGCATGACTACAACCCAGGTTGATGGCTCCGCAGACTCGAGAATGACCAGTCCAGAGAGCAGGTGGAGTACAGACAACCCCTAAAATGAAATGGCAGGAGGAAGGCGGGGATGAAAGGCCACTTGATATGTAATATGATTCTGAAACTGCAAAAATTTGAAAATAAAACAAAAACACACACTAGAACCAGAGAAAAAAGGGAGTCATAGTTCAAAATTGAAGCCACTTGTCCAAATAAGAATATGAGTTCAGAGGGCTTCAAAAAGAAGAATGAAATGGATTCCAAAAACTAAACAGAATGAGTAAAAAACTGAAAATT